GGGCTGAGCTGCTCTGTGGTTTGGGCTCATCCGCTGCACTCTCAGCAGTGGGGCAGATCTGCAAACGTTCCAACACAACAATCCCAGGAAAATATATAATCAGAAAAAGCTTTGCAAGGGCCTCCCAGCCTTCTTAATTAGTTCTCCTTTGAATCCTTTTTTTTTTGTTTTTTTTTGAATTATCATTATTACAATCATTATCATTTCATTTGACTGAGACAAAGCAGGAACCCCAGGGCAGCAAGAGGAACTTTCTGCAGGCAGTAGTGGCTGATCTCCTTCTTTAAGGGTTAGTCACCACTTGACTGGAGCTCTTTAATCACTGCGATGTGCTTTCAGTGGGGATTTGCTTGGCCCAGGTTTGACTCCAGAGGAAACGAGGGAGCTGGAGCCCTGCAGGAGTGAATGATTCCTTTGCCACACTGATTATTTCCACTTTCACATTCAATTTCTTGCTGTGTCTCCATTTGCTGTCATTCTAGGAGTGGTTGGGGATGGTTTTGCAAGCAACAAAAGGCATGCTTTATTCTTCCCAGAGCTCTTATGTTGAGCATCACCAGCAAACTCCCAGCACGTTGTGTTCTTTTACTTGGTGCTTGCTCTGACTTGTGTCTTGTGCAGGTTTCTTTCTTTTCTAAGCTCATCCCTGTATCATCAACTGCAATAACAACAGCCCTCCTTGCAGTGAATTAGTGGGGCTTCATAAAACCCTCCTTTTGTGTGTTGTTTTTTTTGGGGGGGGGCATGAGTGTGTTGTAGCTCTGCCTGGTGCACTGCAACATCTGTCTTGGTCTCAGAATGGGAGTGGAGGGTTGCAGAATCATAGGATGGCATTGGGTTGAAATGGACCACAGTGCTCATCTGATTCCAACCCCCTGCTCTGTGCAGGGTTGCCAACCACCAGACCAGGCTGCCCAGAGCCACATCCAGCCTGGCCTTGAATGCCTGCATGGCATTCCACAACCTCCTAGGGCAACCTGTTCTAGTTCCAGGTCACAGGACTTTTACGAAGATGGAGGTGATGGCAATCTGGTAGAGACTGAAAGTCTGTAAAAACCCAAATGAGGGAAAGAAATGCTTTTCTGATAGGTGTGGGGAGCAGAGAGGGGCATATTTGGAGAGCTGGCATCTACAGGACAGGGTGCAGGCAGGGCTGTGTATCTGTTGGGTGGACCATGCTGTGTGCTTGGGGCTCTTTGGTCGTCCCAGCCAATTATTTACAAGGCTGCCAGCCCACTGGGATTTGAAAACAGGTTTCTTGGTCATTCAGATGGTGAAGCATGGAGGAAATGTGTATTTCAATTCGAAGCTTGGCAAATGCATGTGTGAAACCCAGTGAGGTGGATGGGCAGAGGGGCAGGAGAGGCAAATTGCATGTCCTGTAACTAAAACACCACTGTTTGCATGAAGCAGCATCCCAGGCCACAGTGACAGAGGGGGTTATTGCTGTTTCTCCATAGTAGAAGGTGCTCTGCAAAGTCTCAGAAGGAATAACCACTTCCCTCTCCAGATGTCCAAAACCAAAGGATTGCTTTGCTGCAGACTCCTGTGTGTGTGACCCCACCTCCCCCCTCCCAGGTTGTGATTCACAAAAAGAGAAGGTAAATTGCATGAGTTTCTTTTAATCTTGGCAATGAATCCAGGCTTTCCATCCCTTGCCAACCTGCTGTTGGTGTTAGCAGATCCCAACCCTTTTCCTGTGTAGGTTTCAGTGGGCTGACTGAGCTCCTTCCCTTGGGAAGCAACTCTAGACATGGACAAAAATAAGATATGGTGACATATTTGTGCGAATGCATAACAGGCCCATTCCAAGGGGGGGATTGAGAGTGCTCACAACAAGGATAAAACATTCCGTGAGGGTGTTTGTATTAAATTGAGACTGAGACTCTCGTATCTCAGGTTGGACGTTAGGAAAAGCTCTGAGAGAGCTGGAATGGGTATGGGGTCACCATCCCTGCAGGTGTTCAGGAGGCATTTAGATGGGCCTTGACATTACTGAGGGAGATACTAGAGATGGGTGGATGGTTGGACTGAGTGGTCTTGGAGGTCCTTTCCACCCCTAGTTGTCCTATGGTTCTGTTCTGTATGGCTCCAGGAGCTCTCTCCCATCCTTGTGGCTGCATCTTTTCCCTTCCACATCCCTGGCAAACAGAGCATTCCTTTACCATCCCAAGTGCCATTCGTGTCACACTCAGGCTCAGCAAATTTGAGCCTCGTGTGGCCACGAGAGTGCTGAGAGCTCAGCAGCACGGAGCAATGCTTCCATCCACAGCTGCAGGCACTTTGTATGGGCTGGATCCCTGCATGGTTTATTCACCCCGAGGCATCCAACCTTCCAGAAATACCCACCCATCCCTGACCCATGGCAATCCTTTCTGCCCTGGTGTGGGTGTATTTAATTGGAGATGGCTGCGTGATGCCCGTGATCTGGAAATTAAATGCTCTGAGCTTTGCACTCTTCTATCAATTCATCCCACGTCTAGAAATGCTTGCTGTGCATCAACTGAGGATTTCAGGTGATCTTTAAGCTTCTGGGAGAGCAAACTTTGCAGCAAGACATCCCACCTGACACACAGAGATGGCAGAAAGACTTGAAGGCTACCAGGGAAGGCGCAGCTGCAGGTGTGTGCAAAGCGACGAGCTTCGTTAAGGGCAGCTGACTGCAGCAAGTGTTAATTTAATGACAACTGAGAATCTTTTCCCTTTGCCAGACAACTTGAGCAAGATAAATTGGTAGCTGAGGGTTTTTTTAAGGCTATTTTTTTCTTCGTGAAGCTTTTGCTTCACACTCTGCAGCTCCTCAGCGCGCTGCTTTTGCTTTGTGATTTTTTTTCCACTTACTTTATGATTATTAATATATTTTTTTCCAGCTTGCTGCAAACCTACAGCAACTCAAGGCAGGGTTAGATGTTGCTTAGGGTGGGTTTTTGCTCAGCCACTGTGCTGCTGGAGTCTTCTTAAGGAAAGTAAAATGCTGTTTTATTCACGCCTGGTCTGGCAGGTAGCAAAGGCTGCGATGCGTTTGTAAGTGGGTGATTGCAGACATTGACAACGTTTTTGCTCTGTCACACGTGTTCCTGTTACTGATGGTTGCTGCAGTCCTTGGGAAAGCAACAACAAAAGGCACTTTCTGCTTTGTCAGTGCAATCAGCCAAGGGTCTGCCTGCTCCATTCAGCCACTGCTTGGTTTTCATTCAGGCTGAACGTCTGCAAGGCTGCAGATGGGGCTTGTGGCTGCTTTCCTTGCCAACCTTCTCTCTGTACTTGATAAGGGAAATGTTGGTCCTTCTGGAGGCACAGTCACACACTGTGTGGTGTCCAGGGGCAGCTGGGCATCACCTGCATGACCCCCCAGGTTTGCACTTTGCCTCTTGGAAGGATTGGCAATCAGCCTCTGCCAGCTTCTCCCTTTCTGTGTCTGTCTTTCTGACTCAGAACTTGCACTTTTCATTCAGTTTCATCCATTCACCCGCTGCTCTCGTGGAAGCAAAGGGTTTAATAGCTGTGAACCTCATCTGATGATGTATTTGAAAGCAGTCATTTTTCTAAACTGCCAGGTACAGCCAACATCCCCTGCACTTATCCAAAATATGTCCACGTTTGTCTATAAACCAGGCGAGACTCCTGGATATGAAATATTAACCTTGATTTCAATATGCATGGAGCAGGCTGGATTACATTACGTGAATCTCAAGGCTTTTTATGCCTTGAGTTGACAAGCTGTGCAGCAGAAACACAGAAAGAGTGGGAGACAAATCGGTGTGCAGCACTCAATGGCCAGAACGTGAGGAAGTCTCAACTGCACCACCCTGGGCTTCCTGCTGGCTCAAATTCCTTTTCCATCGGGTTTGATGCATGCTGTGTTGTCTCTGACTATGGGATGATAGGTGTTTGGTTACGGGATTCCCTGCCTAATTAAACTCGGCCCATTAGAAGCTGATTTAGGTGATGGGAAAAGCGGTGCTGCTTCTCCAGTAGGACTGCAGTGGTTGGCTGTTAGCAAACAAGCACGGTGCACAACTCAGCCAAGGGAGGCTGATGAGAACCCTGCAGTTTGGGGTTTGCACACCAAGCAGGGTGCTGCTGCTGGGGTGCTTTAGTGTCATTGAGCTTGGGAAATAATTTCTGGGCACACGGATCCGTGCAATGTCTGCTTCAATGTCTTGCTAACAAGGCTCTGCTAATAAACCAGGGGACAGAGTGAATATCATGGTAATAATTTACCTCCACTTGCTTTTTTTTTTTTTTTTTCCATTTTTGTTTGGATTTTTAGCTGGTTACCATGGTAACTTTCCACCTTCCTTTTACTGGTGAGTCTCCAAAGCCGCAGAGGAAGGTAATGTTGGGGAGATGGATGCATGTGAGCCAAACAGAGCTTTGCTGTCCATCCTCTGCAAAGTTGGGCACGGTCCCAGATGGAATCTCTCACATAAGACTGAAGCTTTAGGAGCGTGGGCTGCAGGAATAACAAACCTCCCAGCTGAAGTTGCTTGCTTCATCAGGACACCAATTTCCAGATCAGGTGTTTTTTTTGCCACCATCAGTCTGTCAGAGATGTGAGTTACTGCCCTGCTCTGGGGATGGAGAACTTTCCATTGGATGCCTGGCCTGGAAACATCAATGTTCAGCCAAGGCCTGGCATTCCATCATAATAGGTGTTGGCATTTCTCTGCACATCTATATCCACCCAGAGGAAATACTTTCTTCCACTGCATCCATTTTGCCTGTTTACCCACGCAGAACTTAGCCATCCAAATTACATTTGGTTTCTTTTTTGATCCATCCTTCCTTCCTGCCATTCATTCTACTGGGTAGCAAATTTAGGACTGATATCTTTGGAGGAGATTTGGAGCTCCCTGGGGAGATCGTAATGAAATGATCTGATTTCTAAGTGTCTCTGAGCATCTCTTGCTTTCCAGCTCTCCCTCATCACAGCTGAGTGCTGGCAGCGGACGCAGCCTGGCTTGCAGCAGGGCTAATCCTTCTCTGTCTCTTTCCAGTTCTTTTGGGTCCTTCTGGTGATCTTCATCACGGAGCTGCTGTTGATATTCATTGAAATCATCTTTGAAAACAAGGTGAGTGCCATCAGGAGGCTGGAGGAGCTGCTCCTTGGCTTAGCAGAGTGGCAAGCTGCAGCCTATGTGAGCTGGGGGGAGATTTCCTTCTCACCTCATGTCTGCCTATGAGCTGAGAATGGAAGATGTTGGTTGTTCTTGCTCTTCTCACGCTGCACCTTGCTCCTACCACACCAGCAGCTCCCATGCAGACTCCCAGCCAAAAATTCTTGTGCTTCTCATCAAGCTCCCTGTCTCAATTGCATTAACTGCTGACTTGTGTGCGAGGACAGGTTTGAGTTATAGCTGAACCAGCAAGACTGGTAAATACTTCCAATGGAAATATTCCTGGCTGCCCAGCTTCTGCTGAAGAAAGCACACCGTATTCAGTTTTATTTTACTATTGTAATCAATCATACAATTAAATATCAAACCTCAGCCTCGGCTGGAAGGAGGGGTGTGCAGGCCAGGAGAGCAACATCCAAAATATGCACGTAAGGGCTCTAAACAGCAATTCACTTTTGCAGAGACAAATTGATGCTTTCAAACCTTCAAAAGCTGATGGGCTCAGGCTGGGTTTGGGATTCAGGCACTTGGTGAGACCCAAAGTGGAAGGGGAGGAGGATGAATGGATGCTGCAGCCAGCTCTGTCCAGCAGCTCTCCAAAAACCTCCAATCCTGGGGAGCTGTCAGGGCACCAGTGGGGAGATGTGACTCTATAAGGAAATTTAGAGCACTTGAGTCCTTCCCATGTAAAGGAAATCAATATGTGCTGGCATGGCACGTGCTGGCTGTATTTTCATAGAAAATGGCACCAAATCGCTGACTTTGCTCCTTCTCTCCACCCTTGTTCCCCTGTACTGATGCTCAGCACCGCCCTGTGCAGCAGGAGAGGGGATCACAGCTTTGCAGGAAAACTCAGGGGATGAATCAAACCATTAGTGCATAAATCATCCCCTAATTTAAATCTAATGTGTAATTTGGAAATCAGACAGCGGGGCGGAGGGAAAAGAGACCCAACAAGTGATGAACCACCCGACCTAAAATTGTGAGGAGGCACAAATCTGCATTTGGAGCAATGCTTGTCAAGCTAATCAAGGAGATTTAATTGGGTTTTGTATTAAATAAGTAGGGGGAGCTGAGGAGGAATGAGCACAGTGGTCTTGCACTGCTGAGTATTGAGCACAACTGAGTATTGAGCGCAACAATCTTGCACAACTGAGTATTGCACTCTGTTGATATGCAGATGGTTTGGGGGATTATTGCACATTCAGTGCCCTCCCTGCAGCGTTATCTCCAGAACTTGGAGCTGAGATCTCATTTGGGATGCTGGGATCGTATGGGAAGATGATGGGATTGAAGGGTGAGCCCATGTGGGGAGGAAAGAAACAGGGAGCAGCAGAACCCAGGTTTGCCTGTCGTGTTGGGAAAGCTATGGAGCAATGTTTGAATCAGTGTTCACAGGAGTGGTTTCTGAAAGGCTTTTTCAGTTCCTCTACCTGATCCCTCACTGTCGGCAGGCTTTGTTTCCCACTCTGACATGCCTTCATTTTCTTCTTTTTTCTTCTCTTCCCCATCTTCATCTCCCTGCTCCCAGTTTGCCCAACCCCTAATTTTCATGTCAGTGAATTATGAAGAACAACGTTCTTTTTCTCCTCTCATCCCTCACTTCTAACTCAGAAAACGTTCCCTTTTCCTCCATTAGCATTTCTGCCTGGCCCTTTTTCAGGAGCAAAGTGGCAAACCCACGCCAGGCTTGGCATAGCTCATTTGGAGGCTCTGCTCCCAGCTCACAAATAATCTTCCCATGCATCTGTGAAATGCATTTTCCATTTGGTTAGCATTTAATTTGAAGCATCAAAGCTCCCTCAGAGATGCAGGCAGCTTGCAGAGCTGCTCCATGGACACGGCTGCATCACTGGAAGGTTTGTTGGGATTGGTGGTGATTGTGGGCTCTGATGAGGGCTCTGCTCCCATGTGCAGCCCATCAGAGGGTGCTGTTGGCTATCAGAGGCTGTTTTGCCTCTTCCAGATGCAGAGCACCCCCCACCAGGGGTTAAAGCTACGTCAGAGATGAGGTTGGAGGTCTATAGGGAGCTGTCAAGAAGTCGTCACCCTAATAATTCAATTGGATGTGCAGCACATAGAAAAACTCAGGTGGGTGAAGGATGCTGGGTGCAGCTATGAGAGATCAAAAATGATGAGTTATGCCCCAAAAGGGTTGGGACAGCAAGTTAGATTCTCATTCTAGTGACAGCCAGCAATGCTATGCTATGAAAGGATTTCTCTGCATGATTTTCATAGTCTGTGATATTTTGCTGTTGTCTGTTCCAAGTGTGAGATGTGTTCATGTTTCTCCTGTCCCCAGATGAATGCAGTTTTGCACTCCAACATTCAGGAGGGCATTCGCCACTATTATGACGACCTTGACTTCAAGAACATCTTGGATTTTGTCCAAGAAAAGGTTTGGCTTTGGAAGAAGGGTGGCATAAGGGGGGATGGGGCTCGTGGAGCTTTGCAAGCATGCAGTGCTGTGAATGGGAAGCATAACGAGTGGTTCGCTCTGTGCCTCGCTGAAGGAGAAGCACACTGCTGGCTCTGATTTGATTTACCATCAACCAGAACCCACAGATCCCTTTCCCCAGGCCTCTCATCCCCCAGTCTGCACATGTATCCGTCCCAGCAGCAGAATTTGCCACTGCCCATGTTAACCTTCATGCGGTTGCCCTCCAGTTGCCCTCTTGTTTTTGGCAAGCACCTTCTCCTGGTGTGTGCAATGAAAACATCCTTCAGTTCTATGCTATGTTATGGACACCGAGATATTTGTATTTCCCATAGCTAATAGAAAGTCAGCACCCAATTCCTGAAGGCTCTTTGGTCATTATTCCAAACTGCAGGGGAACAGCTGAAGAATGAAGTAAGACGTGTAAAAGCCTCTTCAAGACCGCAGCAACCCCCAGGTGGGCTGCCTTAGATAACTGTTTCTGAGATGTGTCACTGAGCCACTTGACTTGATGGGAAAACTGCCAAGAATTTCTTTTCTCCTGGTAACTGGGAGGAAAGAAGGGTCCCTGGCTTTCCACGGGCAGCACTGTGAGCGAGCTGCCCCAAGGACTTGCAAGAGCAGTGCTCATCTGCACCCAGTCCTGTTTTGGAGCTTGGCCATTCTGCAGCAGCTTCTTTAATTGTGTGGCTGTGCATCTATTAAGCATGGCATCTAATGCTTAGAGGCTGCCACGGCTTGGCAGCATCTGTCTCCTGTTCTCAGGCCAACCTTCAGATTGATAAACTGCTCTCCTTGCAGCTATCACTTCTTTTTGAACCAAACTTACTGTGCCTTGGCTGCTGTTGCCTCATATTTCATGCACTGTGTAGCTTTCTTGAGATTTCTGCTGATCACGCACTGTATCAAATTAAAATGTCTTCCTTGTCCCTATTTCCCATTGTTCCTCCCCTCCATCTTAAAAAACCCGAGGTGGCTGTGCTTCGGAGCGATGATCATAGAATCATAGAATCCTTAGAGTTGGAAAGGACCTTGAAGGGTCATCAGGTGCAACTGCCCTGCAGTGCACAGGGATGTGGAGCATCTCTCCAAATGAACTGAACATCCAAACAGGGAGGGATCAGTCCCTGACGCAGGACCTTCCAGACACAGCCCCTACGTTACACACAGGATCGAGGCAGGTGGTTGAGTTGTATTGCCAGTGGTGGGTTATGGACAAAACCCTGCCATGCTAAGCCTTCTCCATGAAGCCATTCTCATGCAGTAGTGCATTCAGCAGACAGCTCACAAACCTGTAAGGGTCAGACTTGAAGCCATTACCCAGTTCAGACAAGCATAGCTGGCTCTAATTTATTGCTTTGTTTTCCAGCATTGGTAAGGAAACAGTTCATGGGAATTTGGGGAATATAGTTTGTTTTGATGGAATGCATTTGGTATGCTCATTGCAAATCTTATTGCGAGAGGGGAAATGCTTGGCTCAAAGCTTTTGGTGAATGTTTTGAGGGAAAACAGTGGGGGAAAAACGAAACCTTGAGATTTAGGAGAGGAAGGAGGAAGAAATGGCAGTGAAATTGCACGCTCAGAGCTTTGTTGTGGGGAAAGGAGCCAGGCTTTGCCACCACAGCTGCATTCTGATTAATGCTAGTAATGGATTGGAGCATCACAGATATGTGAATTTTATCTCTAGCTTTGAAGGAGCCCAAGAAGCTCCTTTGATGTAGCTGAAATTGAAGGCTGATGGTGCCCTCCATGTTCCCCTCTCTGTAAATACTCACCTCTGACTCCTGCAGCCATCATTACTGAACCAAATGCATCAGTAAGACCGGGAGCCCTCTGAAGATCTCGAGGCTTAAGAGATCTCAGAGAAGATCTTTATCTTTCTAAAGCTCGGCTCCAGCCTCTCTGGGAGGATGCTGTAATTTGGTCTTCTCTGAGCGGAAGATAAATGGATGGAGCCACCAGAAAGACAGGTTGGAGCCACCCTCAGTGCGCTTTGGCAAGGAGTGGGGACAAGATCTCTTTGCAGGAAGGTTTCTGTGTCTCCAACCAAGCGAGGATCAGGCACTTCTCGTATGATCTCAGCCCCTGCTTGTGGTATTTTCCCGTTGACCTCTTCACTTGACTTTTTATTCAGGTTTTCTGTGGGAGATGCTCATCTTAGAGTCTCCCTCTGTACTCAGAAGTTGTGGCCACTTCTGGTGTTGCTGAAAAGTCTTTGCACATTTTCTGTTCCAGCAAGAAAAGGTGCTTTGTAAGAATCTCACTGCTGTGAGCTCTTGTGTTAGCACAGCATTTGAAAACCAGGAACCAGCAGTGCTATCAGTGATTGAAAGGCACCATCCCCTCACACCAAGGGCAGGAGCAGGGAGAAGCAATGCAGAAGCATAACTGCTTTCAAGAGACGAGAAATGGCAGCATTCTGGCAGCTCGACAGCCCTTGGGTTCCATAAAACACAGCTGAGCTGCTGGTGGTGTTCTCATAAAGGATGGGGGGGCTCCTGTGGGGCTTTTCAGGACCTGAGCAGCCTGGTTCACCTTGGGACGATGAAAACGTGTAGCCAGCACGGAAGGATTGCACCCAGACTTGGTGTATTTCGCAGTCAAAACACAAGCTCAGAGCATCCTGTTACCACTTCTTTCTTACCCTTGCCATTTGCTGTGCCAAAGCCTCGTCTGCTTGCAGGTTAGCTGGCACGCAGCTGGTTGAGCTCAGCGAAAACCACACCATGCTCCTTAGGACTGAAATTTAGTGTTCACCCTCTGTCAAGCAATGCTTTCAACCTGTGCTGAGTACCTGCACACACTTAAACTGGTATCATACAGTAAAAACAGCAGGGAATGGGGGTCCTTTCCTGAAAAGCAGTTGTGTGTAGAAGCATGAGATGATAATATTTTGCATACCATGATTATAGCTGGGTTTACCTGCCAAGATCGGCTTGTTTTGTCTGCCTGTGAGATGGCAGGTATCAGAATGCGTTGTCCTTAAGAAATAATACTTATCCATTTGTATTACTCATTTGTGCTGAGCTCCGCAGCGCAGGGACGCGGGGTTGGAGGCCACGATGAGTCAGAAGCCCCACTTTGCTGTCAGTGATGAACTGCAGCTCTGTGCTGCTCTTCCTCTGTCTGTTTTTGGTGGTTTGCTGAGCACAGGTGGGAGAGAGGGAGTTCAAAAGCCAGGATTTGAATTTCAAAGCCATGGTGGTTCGTGCTCAAACCCAAACAGCTCCAAACTCAAAGTAAGACTCAGAGGGAGGAAGGCACTGTGCTCGCACACCTCTTTCATTCTCTCTCTCTCAGGAAGATGAAAGGCAGCTCCCACCTGCACATCTCCTTGGAATGCTTTGCTTTGAGGCTGCTGCATGATGGCACTGGCTGCAATGAGCGTGCGTGGCTCTTCCCAAAGCAGCCTGCAAGGCTCCGTCTGCGGACTCTGCTGTTGTTTTCTGCTTGTTATCCCTCTCAGAGCTCTGCAAGCCCCCATGAAAGTAAAACACAGACCCAGGTCTGCCTCAGACTATAGGAAATAAATCCAGGCACAACAGCAGTGCAGCCTAAGCCTCTCTTTGCAGGGAAGAAAACACCCCGGGGAGCTCTCCTGCAGTCAGCAATGCTCATTACAAGGATTTTATATCAGTTCTTGCAAGAAAAGCAAATGGAAGAAACTTCTTTGCAGCACTGGAGTATCGAGTAGTGCAGCAGTATCCAATGTTCCTTTGGGAATAGTTTTCCTCCTTTTTTCCTGAACTAGTTCTGCATGCTTGCCTCCTTCACTGACACAGATGGCATTAAAAGCAATAAAGGCAGGTTAAAACACACAAACACACACACACAAACACACACACACACAAACACACACAAACACACACACAAACACAAACACACAAACACACACAAACACACACACACACAAACACACACAAACACAAACACACACACAAACACACAAACACACACAAACACACACACACAAACACACACACAAACACACACACACAAACACACACACAAACACAAACACACACACAAACACACACAAACACACAAACACACACAAACACACACACAAACACAAACACACACAAACACACACACAAACACAAACACACAAACACACACACAAACACAAACACACACCTCCTCCCTCCCCAGCCCACTCCAGGCTTTTCTTTTGAGGGGGAAAATTGTTAAGATTGAAGCTTGTTTACCGAAAGAAAGGATGACTCAGGATATATTAAGCCCACTTTTATTCCGTGGAGAGCAGAATACGACATTCATTAAACTTTTATTATTATTAATATTATTGCCCAAACAGAAGAGAAAGAAGCTTTTTTCGTTCGTAGCTGCAGCATTTGATCTCTAATTTAACCTGACGGGAAGAGAAACGGCTGTTAGACACTGGAGTTTTATCAGCATATTGCCAAATAGCACCAACTAGTTGAGCATTCATTCATGGCACTGAAAGAGCATCTCTCTTGCACGCCCTGGGAATAGGATGGATTAGTCACCTGTAATTAAATCAGCTGGAGCAAAGCATGAATGAGCCTCATCTTTCCTGGGCTTGTGAAAGCTGTGATGCCTCCAACACATGTATGCACAGTGCTCTAACTGCTGCATGTCCCTAAAATGCTGCTGAACACCCACTTTTTTTGTTTGGTTGGCTGGTTTTTACCCTTCCCGCTTGGAGTTCTTGAAAGCAAGAAGTAACTGGGGATCTCTTCATACCAGCAACACCAGAGCTGCAATGCAAGGCTGGAGGGAGATGCTCGGGGTGGACTGGAAACGTCACGCTTTGTTCATCTGCCTGCCTTATCCCTTCCTTTCCTTCCTTTGCAGTTTTCTTGCTGTGGTGGTGATGAATACCGGGACTGGGAGGTCAATCTGTACCACTCCTGCAATGGCAGCGGACCGCTTGCGTGCGGCGTGCCCTACACGTGCTGCGTCAGGAAGGTAAGGCAGCCAAGGCTCAGAAAGCGCCTCTAGTTCAGCAAAATCCATCTTCTCGCTGGTTTCTGCACTGGCTTCTCATAAATTGTGTTGCCGTTTTGAATTGTGTCTTGGGATGGCTGTGCTTTGGTGGGCTCTGCTGCTTTAGTGTGAACAGCAAAGCACTGGGCTGTATTGTGCTGAGAAGATGTTTGAAATGCTGAGTTCCCATCTTTCTACCTACTGTCAGACCTTACATCTGGGTGATTTGACAAAGAGCAGCAGCTTCAGCTGACTTGGCTGTATCTCAGCATGGATCGGGATCAGCTGTTGTCCTTTCCTTTTGCTCTCCTGTGTGGTGGCTTGCTGTTCTCAGCTTGCTGCCTCTGGGTTTAGCAGTGTGGGCTTCACATTCATAACAAAGAGGTTTTGTGAGTTTTGCTGTAAGAGGAAACATGAGAAGAGTTCAGGAAAAAAGCCAGGAGCTGGGCAAGAAAAAGTGCGAATGTCCTCAGCTGCTGCGGCTAAAAATGCTGCCAATATTGCTGAGAATAATTTGCTCTCTTTAACACTGGCAATGGACCCCTGGGCCCCCAGCACTTTGCTTTGGATGACTGCAATACTGATGGAGTGATGAACACCAGCCAGCTCTGAACTTGTACAGAACTTGCTTGTATACCTGCATGTATCTTAAATCTAGCATTGTTGTTGGCCTTTTTATTTATTTTTTAATGGAAAGAAGGGGAAAAATTAATATATTTTGTTATCAGTGGAAGGCTGGCATGCAAATGAGCTGCAAAAATAATTATTTTCTCTAATCAGGGCGTTGATTAAGGATCTCTGTCAGCTCCTGAAGATGGAATTAGAAATTCATGTCCTGTCCTTTCTTTTATTTCTAGTGAGGATGTGTTGGAGAAAGTCAAGTGCATTTTTCAGTATTTTTACACTCCCTGTGGTTTTTTGACAACTTGGGAAACAAAACTCCTTCACCTGGCAAACTGTCTCAGAGATGGAAGAAAACACAGATATTGAATGTAGTGGGATAAGTAATAGAATCATAGAATGGCTTGGGCTGGAAGGGACCTCAAGGATCTTCAATTTCCAACCCGCTGCCACAGGCAGGGCCACCAACCTCCACATTTCACACCAGCCCAGGCTGCCCAGGGCCCCATCCAACCTGGCCTTGAACACCTCCAGGGATGGACGGGGCATCACAGCCTCTTTGGCAGCTGTTCCAGCACCTCACCTCTCTCTGTGTGAAGAACTTCCCACTGATATCCAATCTAAACGTTCCCTCCTTGAGCTTAAAGCCATTCCCTCTTGTCCTATCGCTGTCTACCCTTGTAAAAAGTTGATTCAATAGGCAACTTTTTGGCTTCCCACTTTAACAAGCTGGATCTGGAGGATGCACTAGCCCCTGGGAAGGAAAGCCTATGGCAAATCCTGTATGCTAACTTCAATAATTAAAGCTTGTGAGAGTGTCTCTGACAGGTGGAGATGTTTTATGGGAAGTGAGACACCCCATAACTGCATCTTGTGTAAGCTCCAGCAGGGCTCTGTACGTAGATATATGTTGAAATGGCAAAGTTGTCATGGGAGTTATGCCTGCAGGTTGAGGAGGTGGGAGAAGCACCGTGGGATGAGGATGGTTGGACACAGCTGGTTGGGCTGAGTGATGCAAAAACCCTGCTCAAATCCCTATCCACCAAAATACTGCATTTAAAGGCTGAAAAGAAGATCTTGCCTTGGCCCTGTATGAATTTGTCTGTGCCTGTTTGAAGTGAATGCCGGCAAAACAAACAGCTTTTTCATCAGTGCTTCTGCTCTCAGGCTTCTCAATTCAGTCCTACAAACCAGGGCAACACAAGACAGCAGTATCCCAGATGTTCCTTCTGTGCCCCTTCCGAGTGGCAGGTCCAAGTTGGGAGCTTTTGCTGGGCATGGTACACTGCTCATTTGTTTGAGTGGCTACTTTGTGAACTTGTCTGGAGGAAAGAGCCTGAAACATGGATTTGGAGGTCATTTGCAATGTGTCGTCAGCCTGTCATTGAATGCAGACCTAAAAACATCCCATTTTCTGAGGGGGGACTTTTCCTATTACAGATCCCTCCAAAGCATTGTATTCCATCTCCTTGGGCATCTCCCAGGGCAGGCTGAGTTGTATTAATGAGAACAGACATCCTCCAAAATTTCTCTTGCTATTTTGAAGAGCCTCATCTCCAAGGTCTACCCAGGAGTAAGGAATGAGCAAATATGCACCTACTGAGGGGGCTGAGATGGGATCCTCATCTCTGAGTACTTTTCTCAATGATTTTCCTATGCATTTGTTCTTCTTGTGGGGAAAGTGTGGGTAGCTGTGCCTCTGCCAAGCACAATCCTTTCAAATTGTCATGCTGACATCTGGCACAGGTCTGGGGGGAAAAGCAGTTATGAAAAGCATGCAGGGATCACAGCCTTTTGCCCTTGGATGCCTTAAAATGTCTGGGTTTGCTGCTGTTTTGGGCCTCTGGATGCATCAAAATTAATTCAGGTAGAATAAGGGCTGTCACCTCTTTTTGTGTTGGGAATATCCATTCAGCTCTGACCTTTGCTTCCATCTTGGCAAAAAATTGATCGAAACCGAAGCATTGCTTTTCTCCTTTCTGCATTTGGCCCCAATGCAAGTTCTTGAGGGAACAGATGGGCAGGACTGGGGGTGACAGAGAAACCCTTCAGTGTTTGATGCAAGAAGGAAGAAAAGTGGCAATTTGTTCTGCAGCCAGATGTTCAAATGGATGAGCCCTACAGAAAGCAATTGTGTCACCAGTAAGGATCCTGTGACGTCCACATGTGAGCAGCAAGGCCAGCTGAAAGCTGCCAAGAACGATGGTTTGGGGCTGTTGGGTTTTTGTGAATTTCTTTGTTTATAATGCAAATGAAATGGATGGATCCTCCATCACGCACGTGTTCCTTTGTATGGCTGCTGGCAATGGCAGTGAGAGAACTGCAAGTTCTCCATACCCCTATTCTCCATTTCATGGGCCAAAACCAGGGTGGGACCTCATCCCAGAAACACCAGCTTTGCTGCCAATCTCTGGATTCCCTTTAGTAGGCACAAGGACTGATTGGTCTCCTTCATCTGTAAGTAGAGCACTGAAGTGATGGGAAAAGGGATTTTGTGAGTAACGTAGATAGTTTTGGTAGAGAATCACTGGGATGATTTCCCTGCCAATTGCAGAAGGAACAAGCTGCAGCTTTATGGCTGGGACCAAAAAGTGCACATTTCTTTTATGCCCTGTCTTGCAGGAAAGCATAATTTACCCCTAACTGTGCACATTTCTTTTTCATCTCTGTGCCTCCAAAAGCACCTGAAGTTTTTGTTCTGTTGTCCAGGTTGCTGGTTGCCAAAGCCATCTTTCTGAAATCTTACTCATTTCAGCTTGTTTTTATTTTATGGATGCAAGGCCCCTTTAGAATCTCACAGCATTATGGAAGATGCTGTTTTCCTAATGAAATAAGCCAAAAACAGATGAAAAGCCAACATCAGAAGATCAGTCCTGAGAGATACGAAGTAACTTGACTGGCTCAGGATGTGCTGGAGCTGCACCCCCCGACGTGGCTTTTCATGGGATGAGTAAGAATTGGTTTTGAACCGATGTTAGAAAATGTTGTAGTCCATTAAAAATATACCCCTTCCATCCTGATGGAAGCAGAAGAATTTGGACTGATTTCATTTTATAGAGCTCCAGAAGAGCAGAGTTTGGCTGGGATTCCTCTCATTAGCTGCAGCTCTTGAAATGCATTCATTGGCCAACAGTGATCGAAGCACGGAGAGTCTGAAATCCCAAAGTTTCTCCCTGAAGTGCTGGGAGGCTTTGGGGAAATTCCTTTTTGATTTCTGGAAAACCAAATACGTTTAATCCTGGTGAAATTCCCTTTGTTATGAAGGAGAGGCGCAGCTAAAAATGTGAGAAAAGGAGGTTTGAATTAAGCAAGGGGAAAATGAAGGGAACGTCTTACAGAGCTGCTTTGTTCAGTGCTCACGTAACATGGAGGTGGTCCCAGCTCAAATCACTGGACAGGAGATGAGGAGCATCTTCTGAAATGGCAGAAACCAAAGGGGAAAGTAGTTCAAGAAAATCATTTGCTTATTTCCTATCTGTTGCCTTTGGTTTCCTCCGACCCAAGTTTCCATCTCTGTTTGCAGGTCCCTGGAGAAGTCATTAACACCCTGTGCGGCTACAGGACACTCGAGAAAGAGGTAATCTTTGCTTTTTCCTTCTTCTGTACAAGAAACCCTTGTGAAGCTCTTCCCAAAGCACCCCTAACATGACCTGAAGCTCTGCCTCACAGTGGAAGGCTCTTCCCAATGGGGACAGCTGTTGCTGCGGCTGTATATAAATTTATTTTTATTTATATTAATTGGCTTCCCAAGGTTCTGCATGGGCTGCAAGGGTGTGAGCACGCAGCACGTTTGGGCGCTGTGTGCAGGCTTTGGTGGGGCCTTCTGGGGAGAAATGAGCTCTCTTTGGTCAGTCCTAGCAAACGCTGGCCTGAGTTTTGGTTTTGGTGTAGAACTGATTGTGAGGCCCCCAGGGGTGGCTGTAGGACTGTGTCACAGTGGAGAGATGCAGTGTGGACTGTGGCTGTAAAGGGACTGGTTTTTGGCAAGAAAACCCAGGGAAAAGAAGTCCAGTCTAAGAAAGGGATTCCCAAACACTTGCCATGGCGCTCCTTTGCAGAACAGAACGAACCCATCCAAACCCACAACCTCAATTCTGACTTTGGTGCTTCTTTTCGACCTTCCCCCAGCGCCTGGAGCTGCTCGATGTCATCCACGTGCGAGGCTGCATCCACGCCGTGGGGCTGTGGCTGAAAGATAACTTTGAGTCCACTTTGAGCATTGTTTGCTCCCTGCTGCTTCCCCAGGTAGGTAGGACCCAGGTGGGTCAGGTCAGCACCCTCTTGGCTTCTTTCTCTGTTCTGGGGGAGGAAGATAATTTGTTTTTAGGTAGTTCCCCCTGCTGCATTTGTATCTGAGATGTGTGTCTTGAGTGGGAATGTCACAGCACTTTCTAGAGCAACCTTAGCAAAATTACTAATTTACTGCTGTGGTGCTGGCTGTCTCATAGCACATTTAATTAATGTTCAAGTAATAGCACCTGAAAGCAAGACGTGTATATGATACCCAGAAATCATGTTGCATTTGTTTCTACATCTCTCTTCAAACAGTGCGTAAATATCAACCAAAATAAACCATAATCATAAATTCAGCAGCTATTTCCATGCATCGTGAAATCTGTGTTTAAATCATTGGCCATTAGCAATGCTTGAGAATCCAGGCAGCTTTCCAGCACAGGTAATTAAGCTCTCCATCACAAATGCTGAGTATGGAGAGAAATCTTTAGTTGCGGTGGGGATTTCTCCTATGGAGAACTGTTGTTTGCACTGTGCTTGCAAAGATGTGAATATCTCTTAGCTCTTTCCACAGTAATCTTTAACAGAACTGTAGAAATTTGGTGTTGATTAAGTCTTTTATTATTAGTAGTAGTAGTAGTAATATTAACTTCCTTCAAGGCTCACATATGAAACCTTTCTCTTTAACTCCTTGGGTACAAGTTGGGTTTGCCACTGAAGGTACTTGGTGGTTGGTGCTTTCTGGATATGGGGTTTTATCTAACTGAGGGTGAAATGATTATGTATTTTTCCTGGGCTTCCACTTGCAGTGATGTATAGAATAGTGGCTCAGTAAAGTAGAAGCTATTTGGGAAATATGTGCCACACTGAGTTACTTTTTCAAAGGACTGACTGTCCTGGATGTCTCAGATGATCATAGAATCACCGAATCACCAAGGTTGGAAGAGATCTACAAGATCATTCAGTCCAACAACCCACCTACCACCAATATTTCCCCACTGAACCACGTCCCTTAGTGCAACATCTAAATGTTTCTTGAACTCCTTGATCCATTCGGACCCATTCTTGATCCAAATGAAAAAATTGAGGTGGGGAAGCAGTTTGCCCAGTCCCAGCTGTAATGCTTCACATTTATCGAGTGCCATCTCTGCAGTGTGCAGATGAGAATGGAACCTCTGCTGTGCTACCAGCAGGAAACACAACAGGCACAGGAATGGGGTGAGAAAGCACCATGAAAGAGGCGACCGCTTCCATCTGCCTTGCAGGATGTCAAGAGCCCATTACAGGAGCTGCCTGTTGCGTTATCCATTAACCTACCAACGTGGTGCTCTTAATTAGGAAAGACAGGGAGACAAACCAGTGTTGGCAGTAAGGATTGCTGAGCCTTGATGAATATCAAGTGCTTTCGAGCGAGCGTTGTGATTTTTCTGGCATCCCCTTCAATGCTCTTCAGATAAAGAACTTTTCTTCCCATCTGCTTGCGACTCCTAGGTTTTAAATATAAATTGGATTTGATGCTGTCAAGTTTTGGAGGGAATTAAGTTAGAAATGGCCGTCTGCATTGCCAGGAGCTGTCAGCTCAGAAACAGCTTCAACCCTGGCAACTGCCAATGGAAAGCCAGGATGAGAATATTGTCCTTGAATTGCCAGTCTGAGGAGAGCTCTGTTGACATGGAAGGGTGATGGTGCCTTGAGCTTCGGGTAAACCTGTGAACACGTCTCTGGCCATTGGGCATTTGTTGTGTTTCATTATACACTTATTCTAGTCTCAAAAAGGGCCACAAACCACCTTAATGGAAAGCTTGCAGCAAGCCATTGAGAAGGTTGGGACCCAAATCCACATCCTGAGTACAGTTCTGGATTTTGGCCAATTGTTCAAAAAATGTGGCCTCCCTTAGGATCAAACTTTAACCTCAGCTGTGATGTTGAGCAGCTCAAGGGCTGCTGAAGGATGGGGTTTTGAGCTTGGCTGATATCCATCACCAAAGTGCCCAAGATTTGTGCTTGGATTTGGGATGAGCGACGTTCTTAAGCCCTTCTTATGCAGAAGGAAGTACCCAAGAAGAATTTGAGCTGTCATAGATTGCCCTTGGGAAGGATATCCCTGGGCAATTACTGCTCTCAGCACTGGCTTTCCATCTTACTCAGATGTTGGAAACCACCACATTTTGATTTTCTCTGTTTTTTTTTCCCCTAAATATATGCACGAGAGGCCCGACAGCACAAAGCTGGGCTTTGCTTTCTCACAAATCTTAATGTCTCTTTTTGGATTTGGGAAATGTAAATCTGATGTGCCCTATCAGGTGCTGAACTGATTGAGGCAGGGAAAACGTTCCCTGGGAATGTCAGCAGCTGCCCTCCTGGCCAGTGCAGGGCACAAGGAGTCTGTAGTTTTATGCTCACTCCTAAATCATCGATGTCTTCATCTTTTCTAAGCAAGCCATCAGGAAACTGGGGGAGTGGAGGGGGGTTGGGAGAAATACTGTTTAGGGGGTGAGGATTTGATTGTTTGCATTTGTCTTGCTTTGTTTGGAGCAAAGCATAAATGCATCCACTCAATTGTTTTTCTGCCTTTGCAGAATACCTTTATTCCTCTCTTCCTGTTTCATTCTCTTGTAACAATCCTCTCTCTTTCCCATTCTCAGCCAACCTGCAGTCAGTGGCAAATTCCCACTGTGTCCTTGTGCTGTTTGTGTTTCACTGTGAAGCAGCTCCAGATTTTGCAGCAGTAAGCAGTGAAACACCTGAGTTTGTTTTTATAGCTTCTACCTCCCCAGTTTCCCAGCATCTGGCAGGATTGCACAGGGAATCTGCAACATGTTCTTTCCCCTTTGCATGCCTGGATGGTCTCACAGCAGCTCTTATATTAACCCAAGGAAAAACTCTTCAACTTTCCTGTTCACTGCTCCTTGCCAAAGATGTTTTCCGATGGCATTTAATCCTTCTTAGCAAGATGGAGAAATAGCCTCTGTAATAAGGAAGAAATAAGGGGATGAAAAAAAGCTCTTCAACCCTTTCTTTTTTTCTTTCTCCATTCTAAAGAAGGGGAAGATAACACAAGTCCAATTAAAAATGAAATCTCTGATGGGTCATCTCCAAGGGTTAATATCTACTGACTCTGTAAGTGCAGCAGACTTGCAGTAAATTGTTTCTATCTGTGTTTCACTCTGATATTTCATCAATCTCCAAAGCTCTTAGCTGGGAGCAGCTGCAGAGTGGAAGAGAATTCTGCTGTGTTGCTTCAGCATGGAGGCAGATATGGAAGGGCTGCAGTCTGTGTCTCTGGAGGTATTTAAGAGATGCGTGGACATGGCATTAACAGCGTAGGGATGGGACTGTGCCAGGCTGATGGTTGGGCTCAGTGTTCTCTGGGGTCTTTTCCAACCTAAATGACTGTATGATTCCAAGAGTGTGAGTCCTGAAGATGAACTATTTCATGCATCTTGCAGGTTGGCGCCTGCCTCTCTTGGTGACAGTCATCTTAAACATTTTCTTGCCTAAAGGAGCTTCTTTCTCAGAGGGCTTTTGCTTTGCCTTGCCTTGCCTTGCCCCTTTCTTTCCCCTTTCCCCATTTTTTTCCCTTCCCTTCCCTTCCCTTCCCTTCCCTTCCCTTCCCTTCCCTTCCCTTCCCTTCCCTTCCCTTCCCTTCCCTTCCCTTCCCTTCCCTTCCCTTCCCTTCCCTTCCCTTCCCTTCCCTTCCCTTCCCTTCCCTTCCCTTCCCTTCCCTTCCCTTCCCTTCCCTTCCCTTCCCTTCCCTTCCCCTTCCCTTCCCCTTCCCTTCCCCTTCCCTTCCCTTCCCTTCCCTTCCCCTTCCCTTCCCTTCCCTTCCCTTCCCCTTCCCTCTCCCCCAAGATTAATTTCTGTTTTGTTTCCTTTTTAATACCTAAGTTGCTCCAGGGACTGGCAGGCATTATATTCCCAGGCAGCTCATGCATGCTGAATGAAATAGGAACAAGGAGTAAAAATAATTTTTCCATCGACATTCTGTGACCTTTGTGAGAACCCTGCCTTTAAATACCAATTTGTGGAAGGGAGAGACAATAAAACATAAATACTTTTACTTGATTAACTCTGGGAAAGCTCAAAATGATTTAACTCTTCTTGTTAGCATCATCCATCCTGCTTTACCGCTGCGCAAATGGGAGAGGACCTCCATAGCTGGGAGGAAAAAGTGTTTTCCTGCAGAAAATTTTGCTTGCAGAAGACTCTTGTTGGGCCAGTGGATTATTTCCTCCATGCCCAGAGCTGCCCTTACCAAACCATCTCTTTCCCACCTTTCCTTAAGGCATTTCTTTGTGCCTTGGAGTAATAGTGGTGGATGAGGTGACACATTTGCTCTCTCAGGTTCAATAACAGTTTATTTTCTGCAGCAATGGTTTGGAAACATCAGCAGATGTTGTCCTGCTGTTGCTGCTCAGCTGGACAGGCAGACACCCATAGTTAAAACATAATACAGTGCCCAGTTATAATTAGTGTCACTAATCTAAGTTAGCTAGAAATAATTATAGGCTCAGGATCAAAACGCGTTTTCAATTTGCTTTTTGAGCTTTTGCTGTTTTGCATAGAGAAAACTCACAGGTGTTTCAGAGAAAGCCAGTAGCACAGAATTGCAGACGTTCACGGGAACCTTCTGGGTTTAACTGAGCAGTGATCATCGGGTCTTTGAGTTAAATAACAAAAATATCAGGCTGCCCACCTCTCCATCCTCCCAGTGGCTCACGGTCAGGAACAAGGGCAAAATTTCTGACAATCTGTGCTTTGGAGAGCTTCATTTTTTTTTCCCTCTGGTAGCCCTGAATTTCCTTTAGCTGGTTGGGTTGGATGGGAGAGCTTACAGATGGCCCTTGCTGATCGCAGAGGTCCCCCTCTCTAGTTCCTTCTTGCTGGTTGAAAAGGAAAATGAGGTTGCTTTGCCCAGATTGGGTGCTTTGGGCAGAGTTCAGCTGCAGCTTTCTGGGTGAGACCCAGAGCGATGCTGAAAGATGGAGAAAAAGGGCATTGGCTGCAGTAAGATGCTGCTTTATCAGCTCAAAGCTGTTCATTTGCAGCTGGGAGAAGACAGACAGATAGGAAACAGCGGAGAAGTGGGGACCTCGTGAGGCAGCAGCGGCGCTTTCTGTCCCTTGCTGAACACCAGCCAGAAAGAACAGGCAAATCACTGCTTCCAGTGACCCGACAGCGGTAGCATGAAGTCATTACAAGGGGAAAAAGAAGAGAGAAGAACAACTTATTTTTTTATCTTTCCTTTTTTTCTTTAATCTGATGCTTCACCCACTGTGGCAGCTCCGCAATAAAGCCTTCCTTCGTAGCGCAGCACAATAAAATCAGCACTCCCATTAGAAGTCTCTTTACTTCTGGAAAACATGGTGCCCTTGGTGCGGGGGATATTGAATTCATCTATATTCCTGACAGCTTTTTCCATTTTCATTAAGTGGAAGAGGATATTTAGAGCTGAGCTGGAATGGCACTTGGTTCATTGCTCAGAAGAGAGAGAAGGCGTGGGGATGCAGGCTGCTGGCTGACGACGTGGGGTACCTTAATGAAGTTAAATAAATCCCCTGCTTCACCCCAATGCTGTGTCCCATCAGGAGGAGAGAAGCAGGAGGCAAATTTCCAGTGCTGCATCCCCAAACCTGGGTGATTTTGCAGAATGGGATCCATTTGGATTCAAGTTATTGTAGACACGGATCTTTTTTCCTGAATTACTATTTGGTTAACTGAGGAAAAATTTTATGTGCTTGCCTAAAGATGTGTCCCTTCAAAGAGGTTTGCTTTCCTGGTCCCTTCACTCTAACAGCAGTGGGCTGTTAAGCTGCCCAGTGACCTCTCAGAAGTAAATAATGCTGGAGCATTGACATATATTTGAGCATTATTTTAAAACTTTTGAAGTCCTTGGGGGCTCTGCTGTTGGATGTGGATGAGAACAATCTTATTTTCACATGGGCATTGCAGTGGTTGCTCTGTGTTCTCTCTTGTTTCCATAGGGAGATAAAGGTGCCCCCAAGCACCGCGCATCGCCTTGGCCTCCTGCATCCCTCCTGCCCACAGGTCCCTGCAGCTCAATTTTTCTTGCAGTGTCTGCAATCCTATTTCCCAAACAAAGAACCCTAATGGCATTCACTCATTTTTTCTGCATTTTGGAGAGAGCCCTGCTGGCCATAACCACACAGCAGCCCCTGCACCGTGCCTGTTATTCTGGTGATTCATCCTGTTATCAAGGGGGGGAAGATGCTTATTGTTTGCCCTAATTAGCTGGAGTGTAAAATAGGCAGGATGCTGTTTGAGGATTGATGGAGTCAAGCTGAGACCCAGAGTGGGGAGCAGACCTCAAGGGAGGGCTTTATGCTGGCAAAGCACCCCAGTGGATGTGGTTTTCCCCATTTCGTGCAGAGCAAAGAGCAATCAGCTTTGAGTGGGTTTCCCCTCTGGATCCACCTCCAGGAGAGTGTGGGGAAGGAAAACCAAGATTGAGTGGTATGGAGGTATCTTCTGTGCAGTGGGCACTGCTGGTGGGGCTGGTGGAGCATTTCTCTGTCCCTGAAAGGCAAATGGATGAACCTGATGCTGTTTGTGTTGGCCTGGGTTTGCTTTCAGCTCACCAGGTAACACTTTTTATGATGTGCTTTTTCCCCTGTGGAATCATGGAATCACCAAAGTTGGAAAAGACCTACGAGATCATCCAGTCCAACCTGTCACCAATAGTTCTCACCAAAAGGAGTTTGCCTCCTTTCCATTTGGGAGTCCCCACTGATCCCTGGTTTAAGCTGCATGACATCCCCATTTGTCTTTTCCTACACTCCCCCCTTTGCAGACCCTAATGGATCAGCTGGGACCCAGCTCAGTGATCAAAAGATGTTATTTTTTCAGCTCCCAAAGCAATGCACTGCAGGAGATGCCAGTGGATGGGTGGTACAGGTATCACCCCAAAGGAAGCATCGGGGGAAATCAAGTGATGGACTTGAATCCCTGGGCTGCTGGAAATGCTTGTCTTCACCCTCCTTAAGATCTAAATTGTTGGTTTTTTTTTTCCCCTGACAGCCAAGCAGGGAAATAACCCAAGTGGCACCATGCTTGCAGCGTTACCCTAATTTTAGCCAGAACGCAGACCTGCGCCACTCGCTTTGCAATGCTCACAGTGATATCCAGCATGGCCCACGGTCAGGGAAGTCATGAGACAGACAGAGATGTCAGCAGCTTTAGCAAAGATCCTCCTGCTCTGTCAGCTGGCATTACTGCATCTCATCCTCTCTCTTGCTCAGGCTGGGGGGTGAGGGTGACAGCTCCTCTTGCACACAAAGACCTTTGGGGATGGTTTGCATGCCTGTGGTGGCTTTGACGTGTGCGTTTTGCAGGTGGTCGGCCTGGTGATGGCGTGGCTGTATTGGCAGAAGCTCAATGAGATTTACTCTCAGCTGGACACCGTGGACTTCAGGATGCTGGAGGTGCGCGATTTCAGCTTCGGGGCATTGGATCTGAGCGGTGCGGGCTGGTGCTGGTGCTTGCCCAAGGAAGGAGGATACATCCCCATCAATGCCATGGAGGAGGAAGAGGAGGAAGAAGAGGAGGAAGGCTTGTCTGTTACAGTCAAAAGTGAGGAGCTGGAGGGCTGAAAGCAGCGATGGAAAAAGAAGGTTGGAGTAAAAGTCTCAGTGAGGCAGCTGATGCTGAATGTGAAAATGTTGCAATGTATCCTCAGGTTCAGGAGATCCCTTTGGGGAAAACTGCTAAGTAGCTTTGGGAGGCTGGAGCAGTGCAATGTGTTGTGTGGGCACACGAGCTCCCCGGGGCCCTTTTACCACATTGCTGACTTGAAGTATTTGTACATCTCTTTTTTAAAAGTTTTTACACAATAAATGTGACTGCTGTTCTGTTTTGCAGTGTCACTGGCACTTGCTGCATGCTGGTTGAGTTGCTGGGGGGGGAAGAAGCATCACCAGTGCACGTTGGGGTATCCTTAGGTTCCTTGTTTAGCCTGACCTCCTGAAGGATTGAGAGACCTTATGGCTCTCTACAACCGCAGAAAGGAGATTGTGGTGAAGGGGGTTGGCTTCTGCTCTCAGTTAGCAGAGATAGGACAAGAGGTGACGGTCTCAGGTTGTGCCAGGGGAGGTTCAGGTTGGATGTGAGGGCAAATTTCTTCTCCAAAAGATTGGTTGGGCACTGGCACGGGGTGTGCAGGGAGGTGATGGGGTCACCATCCATGGAGGTGTTCTGGAACCATGGAGATGTGGCACTGAGGGATGCAGTTGGTGGGCATGGTGGGATGGGTTGGGGTTGGAATGAGGGATCTTATTGTTCTCATCCAACCTTAACGATTCCATGATTCTTTCACAGACGAAATCTAAAGACCAGACAAGGAAAGGATTTTTCTTTTTAACATTCATTGTTTTCACTGCAGCATCTTGGTGATCAAGGCAGCCATTCCCTTCTGCATTGCTCAGGATATAGGAATTAAATATGCTGACTGGGATAAATGGGCCACGCTGGGAATCACGCTTACAGAGCGAAGCCCAGGGCAGATGGATTGCAAAAATATGACTGCGTTTGTATCAAAACAAGCCAAGAGTGAAAGCCTTGCAGAGCTCCCCTGTGCTGGTTCAGCTGTAACCCATTGGTGAAAGCTTTGCCATCCATCAGCCCGAAGTCAAACACAGCTCAGTGAGTGCAGGGGAGGAGGCATCGATTGGAGATGTTTTCCCCCAAGAGGAACCCATGGGCGCCCTTAGGGCAGCGGTGGCAGCCGCATCCATCAAGTGGGCAAAGTCACTTCACAAGCAAAAATGGAAAGCACAAAAAGTCTGCTCTTAAAAATGTGGTTTGGTTTTGTTTTCTGCTGCGCCCCCCAGCAAAAGAAAGGCTGCAGTTATTAGATGTGCTTCTTAATAAGGGCGTCTTAGAAGCCAGGAGCCAAGTTCTGTAACGTGGGCCCCCACTGCACTGTGCTGCACACAACTGCTGGGCTCTGTCTCCCTCTTCTGCCTGTCTTGAGACTTTTTTCCTTTAACCAGATGAGAAACCCTCCCCACCACAAGCCTGGAAAGGGCTTTTTGCAGGCGGTTCCTGTAGATTGCACTGAAAATGGAGCTGTGAACCAGCAGTGGGGTTGTTGAGTGGTTTTAAAGCAATGTGACCAACACTGTGGGATTTCTTGCAGGTGAAGAAGGTCAAAACCTCCAGGTGCTTCCGATCATTTAAGGAATAACAGGTGTTTGTCTTCATCCAGGTATCTCACAAGCCCCAGAGGTTTTGCTTTTTTTTCTTCCTTCCTCCTCCAGTCTCTGGGGAGGCACTTAATAAAACTATTACATATACAAGCTGATAAATCCAGCCTGCTCTTTGGGGCTAATTTCCATGTAATAGCTGGGGAAAATTCATTCTGTTATTTTTATCTTTCTTTATTACTGGACAAGCTGCTGCTGTTGTCTCTGTACCGTTTCCTGGGTAGGCAGAGCCTGGGAAGGCTGGAGTGCAGCACATAGCAGGTTTTCCTACCTGGACTAACAACAGATGCTTTGTAGCAGGCACTGAGTGGTGGAGATACACTGCATGCAATGTGCAGGGAGACTTGGCACCCTGTTCTGCTATTCCCATTTAGCAAACAGGGATAAAGCATCAAACAGACTTTGCTTCTGCTGAGACTCCAGATGATGCCAGAGAGGTGAGAGGAAAAGCGCTGCTATCAGACAGCTTTAAAGCCTAAGGCAGGATTTCTCTGCTTGCTTGCTGAACGATGGGACTGTCTGCAGCCAAGTGTCTGATGCTGCTTTGATGCAGATTTATTGATATTCCTGTTAAAAGGCTGAACAGGCGTGAGCAAGCCAGGCGTTAAATGGACTCAGGCAGGCGAGGGAGCGCCTCACCCGCTCACAAAGCCAAGAGGTTGGTTCTCTTGTGCTCAAGTTTGTGGATATTTCACGTGTCAAAGGCAAAATGTGGCACGTGTATCAAAAAGGCAAAGACTTTGGTGGCACTTGGGCTGCTCCTGTGGTCCCTGATGGGTTCAGGAGCTTTCTGCCTCTTGGCAGTGCTTCCCCACCTCCCCAAGTAATTTCCTCGTGTTCTTTGCTGTGTGTGAGGTTGCACTGAGCCAAAGAGCAAAAGCTGTTCCTCTCCCCATTCCCCATCAATCGAGGCAAAACTGATAGGAATCAATAATTAAAGAGGCAGCAATTAACTCAGGAGAGGCAGATCATGGATGGTAGGGATTGGCAGCCAAAATATTGTTACGTCCCATCTGGAAAGCATCATTGCACGCCACCAGGTCTCCATGGCATGAATGTCACAACCTCTCTGAAGGTCTATTTGCATCCCATGATGCTTTTCTACCCCAAAAGTCAATCAGCATCACCCAAAAATACATTTTAACCTGGCAGCTACAGAACTGCAGCCAATGGGCGTCAATACAACGTTTGCAGGAGTGGTTTCCTCCCGAGGCAGTCCAGGCTCCTGCATCCATCAGCACCCACTGCATCCCCACACCAGGCGCAGCCCCTCCAATTTCTGAGTGCTTCTGGAGAGCCAGAGGTGAGTTTGTTGGTGTTAACATTTGCTTTTCTGGACATGAAAGCTGGTGGGGATAGTGGGGTTTAATTGGGTGGTATGGATGTGGTCTTCTTTTCTCTCTCCTTTTACTTGCACGGCACTTTAGGTCATGTTTCCCCTCCAGTTCTAGTCTGTGTCACACTTGTGTTTATATGCAAAGACTTCTGGGGGGAAATAAAACTGCCCATGTAAGAAAATGAGATGAAAAACATCCCGAGGCACAGCTTGGATGCTTCAGTCGGGACCTTCTATTTACCAGCGGATTTAGCAAAGTGTGCTTTTGTTGGGGAAATGAATTTTGTTGGCTTTTTTTTTTTTCTGCCAAACAGAGCCGTGGTGGAGCTCATGTTGGCCAGGATAGGCTGTAAAAAAAAAAAGAAATAAAATAATTTGTATTTCTTAGCAATGTAAACCCAGCAGGAGGGCTGCGTGTCCCCATCCACACCCAACAGCGCTGCCCTTGGGGGGGTTCATGGCTTTCATCTGCTGGAATAGTTTTAAAGCAAAATTATTTATACCCACAGCTGGGTAAGCATAATGCTGTTTCTCTTGCCAGCATCAGCTTCCTGAATCCCCAAATTAAGCCCCATAACATTATTTGCAGGAAGCCAAAGCTTGCAGCTGATGGGTTTTATCCTCCAATGCAGCCAGGTTTGGGGCATGGTTGTCCACCCAGAGCTGTTGACCCTTAAAATTGATTGATTCCTACACCTGAGCAAGAAATATTGGACTAATGTGGTCAAAAACCCCAAATCTGTTAGATCAGGAGTGTCTTCATGTCTTCAGGAGGCAATTAGCTAAGGCTGGAGCCTGTGTTGGTCACAAGGTGGTCTCTGCCTTAGGGAAAAGCAAGTCAATAATTCAGCAACTCAAGCAGAGCTGACCTGGCCAGCAAAGGATCCTTCTGGCTCCTTGTATGCACATGTAGTTTGCTTTTTATTTTAAACTTTTTTGGGATTGAATTGGGATTTTGCTTCCCTGCAGGAGATGAATGGCAGTAAATTGCCATGGATGCAGGCAGGCAGAGCAGGGGATGCAGAGAGAGCTGCTCTCAAAGTGACTTTGGGAGGCATCGACTGGGCTGCCACTAGTAGTAACCATTCCCCCGTCCAAGTCAAGTGTGAAAGACAATCCCTGGAGGTCAGATAATTAGGAAGATTAATTAGTGTCCGTGGCAAAATCCAAATAATCTCACATGGGGAATAAAAGCGTAGGTTTGTAGGAAGATATCTGGAAGTGGAAACGTGTGCAGCAGAAAATCAGGTTGTGCTCAGGATACGGGGAAAGGCAAACTCTGCTTTAACACAACCCCTTTTAGCTGTGCTCATCCCCCTAGAAGTTAAATATCTGTTTATTTCCCAACCAGCCCCACTGCAACAGCTCTGTTAGCCAAGCAGGTCTGCATCATCATACTGGGAAATCCTTCTAATAATCGCTTACACCTTCCTGCCGGCAGCAGGAGGGAAGGATGGAGATGTCACCCCAGTCAAATCCATTTCTGAGCTGTAGGGATGGGGCAGGGGGGCAGCGATGGTGCAGAGTGAGGCAGGGCTGAGCTGCTATGGGGGGAGGGTCAGCACACTGCAGGAGGTGGCAGATCCCAGTGTGCCCTCAGCCCTCCGGGAAGGTCCCTGGGGTTTTGGCCACATGCAAGAGCTTCCCATAGCAGGGATTACCCGTAGCACGGGCTGCTTCCCGGCACTTCTCACCACCTCTCCCCTTTCTCTGCCCTTGACTCCCCGTTCAGCTCTCACCACAAGTCAGGACCATGCTGGAGGATGAGGATGGGCTGAGCGAGCGGGGGCTGAGCAGCTCGAGGAGGAGATACGACGATGAAGAAGGTGAGAGACACAGCGAGCATCCCCGTCATATGGCAGTGGGACCTTCCAGAGCACCCAGCGTTCTGGGCTGCGGATGCTTTGAGCGGAAGGCTTTACAAGCTAGAAACGCTCAGACCCGCTTTCTGATTCTTTTCTTCCCATCCCAGATTATCATTCCATCTACATCGGGGTACCGGTGCCCCGGGGATACCGGAGGAAGCGGCGTCGGCGGCGATCCGCCTCCAGCCGGGACCGGACCAGCGAGAGCGAGCGGCACTACGAGCGGCAGGAGCGCTCCGACACCGACGACGGCGGCCACGGCTGCTACGAGAGCGGCAATGATAACGCCAGCAGGACCAGTGAGTTGTCCTCTGGCTTCCTGAGAAAGCAGGAGGGGTTTTGCGGTGTGATGTAAATCAGGGTTAAATCACCCTCGTGTGCGCCCTGCTGCGTTTCCTGCTTGACTTTTGCTTTCTGCTCTGGTTTTCCCGATGTCTGAGAGCTGTGCGCAGGGCATGAAGCAATATTTGGGGCTGCTTGTGTGATGGGTAGTCTGAAAAGTGATCCTCCTTGCTCTTGGGAGGTTGCATGGAGTTGTACAGCGATGTCTTGGGGGTGCAAACATCTAACTCCCCCCCCTTTCCAGCCCCAACTTTGTTCCCTTTAGTCTGTCACTCAGGACCTTACCCAGCCTCCATAATTCTCCTTATCAAAGATGAACATTTTGCACAGCAAAGTGTTCGTTGATCTCTTGATTTATTTACTTTGTGTTTGGCTTTATGTCAAACCAGCTGCTCTGCTGCCATGTCTCAGCAGCACGGGAGGGATCTCAGCCGTGGTTTTCCCCACAGAGGGAAACGTTTTCCAGTTTTTTGCGTGGGTTCAGAGTTCAGTGTTTGCAGCCTGAACTCAGAGGAAACACTGCAGGTGGTTTCCCCACTTGGCTCCAAGTGGAGGGAAAGAAAACCACCTCCCCCAAAGCAGCCCCAGACCCGTCCCTGGGTTTTGTTCTGCCATCCCTCCCCTCCCTCCCCTGGCCCTGCTGCCACACATGCTCCCAAGTGCTCACCTCTCCTGAACGCATCTCGCTTGATTTGGTAACTTCCCGTCATGAGAGCTGAAGGGAGAGGAAAGTGCTTTATATTCTCTATAATCTGCTCCTTAAGCCTGGGAGTTTAACGGGCTTGAGTGGATAAAGGAGGAAGTTTGGGGGCTTTTGTGCTGCGCAGGGAAGGTTTGTTTCGACGGGAAGAAATGGGGGAAAAAAAGGACAGCGTTCCAGGTAGGAGCCAGTGCTGTGTGCTATTCCTCCTCTGTGGTCACGGTGGAGGGAGCAGGAGGGGAGGGGAGGAAAGTCCCCATTGCTTTGGGCTTTGCTTCTCCCTGGGGTCAACGTGGGGCTGGCGCAAGTCCTGGTGATGGCAATAGCTGGGATGAGCCTGGGGACATCTCCAAATGGAGCGGGGGGGTGGGGAGGTGGGACACACCTCTGTCAGCACCTGTCCCAGCTCAGGGAAGCAGCACAGGCAGTGTTTGGGAGGATAAATCCAGACCTGGGGCCATCTGATTTCTTGAAATGAATGGGAGCAGAGCTCCTGGTCGCGTGGGATGCACGCCCCGGTCTGGTGTTATTTGGGGGAGGAAGATCCATTCTGAGCCATGGAACTCAGGAAAAAGGCTGTTGTGGAGTGACAGTGGGTGATCAACGTGTGACAGCCTGAATGGGAGCTTGTGAGGGGAGCTGTGTGTGGAGTCATGCAGTACCTCTGCCAGTTGCTATCCACGAGCAGCAGCCATGCATTTCCCCCTCCCCACAGGACATCAGCCTATCTTTACTTCTCACTCTGCATTTGGGGCTCGTTGAGGTTGTTGGTTTGGGTAGGTGCTGCTGGCTGAGGTTCCACTGTGCATCCAGTGTGTGGTGTGAAGGGCTCTGTGCCCCTCCAGTTGGTGTAACTCATCTGTCCCGTGCAATGACCCACAGAAACCTCAGCTCTTTTGTGCATACAGCTATCCTGAATCATCAGTGTTAATGCTGAGATGGTCCCACATCTCTGGGCTTGATTTGGATCCACTGCAGCTTGAATTGAAAGTGATTTGCTGGGTATAAATCAGAACAGAGAAGCTGTGAGCATCTTTCCACCTTAAGAGTTGATTGAGGGAGGTACAGATTTATCGTGTGCATGATATCTTGTTTCAGTGATCTCTTGTGAGATGTAGGTGCTGGTTCTGGGTGTCTCTGCAGCAGTGTTGCATTTCCCAAATGCAAACCACATCCTCCAGCACACAGCATCCTCAGGGGATGTTGCTACACAAACCAGTGGCAAACTGGGAGAGCAGCAAGACGGGATGGATGTGAATGGCAGCTCCCTGCCCTGCCCACATCCTCTGAGGAGATGCCACTGTTCAACATATCCTCCCAAGCTGGTGATTTCCGAGATTAATTTTGTGGCTGGATCATGTTTGCAGAAGGAGCAAAAATCTGCAGCCTGGTGCTGGGCCAGGAGCGTCCTCCAGGTGAACAAATCATAAGGGTTTGTGGCACAGAGCTTCAGCAGTCAGTTCTCTGTTTGGGTCGGGATTTGTGGGAGGTTCAGCAGCTCCATGCACATTGATCCACCTTTCAGCAAGGAACCATGGCACATGTTGAGAGACAAGGCTATTCCTTCAGCTGGCAGTGGGAATATGGGCAGTGCTGTGAGCAGTGGTCACAAAGGGGATGGAGCTGCACCCCACGCTGACCCATTCCTGGAAAACTGAAAATCCCCTTTCTGTAATGTATCCTGGATGCCACCTGGAAAGGGCATTCCCAGCAGCTCGTTCTGTTGCAGTGCAGCTCATGGCAACGTTTAAGGTTTGTGGTGAATTTAGGTTTTGCAGAGAAAACTCAAGTCTGATGGGGAGCAGCTGGGGGAGCTGGGATGGTTCAGCCTGGAGAAGAGGAGGTGCAGGGCTGAACTTATGGCTCCCTGAAAAGAAGGAGGTGGTGGTGAGGTGGGGTTGGTCTCTGCTCCCTCTAACAGCAATGGGATGAGAGGTGATGGCCTTAAGCTGCAATGGAACAGGTTCAGGTTGGATATCAGTGAAAAATTCTGAGAAAGAGCAACGATGCAGGGGCACAGCTGCACAGGGAGGTGCTGGCGCCCTGGAGGGGCTCCAGAACCATGGAGATGTGGCACTTGGGGATGTGGCCAGTGGGCACGGTGGGATGGGTTGGGATCCTAGAAGTCTTCTGTAACGATGCCATGAGGATAAAGGAGGATAATTGGAAGATAAAGATCCTGTATTCATCCAGGCGTGGAGCCCAGCTCTAAAATTAACAGGAATATGAAGAATCTTAATAATCAACATTATGGAAGTGCAAGGAGGACTTGACAACAGGGCTTTAGCCCTGGTGGTGTGGCTTAAAGTGCTTAAGCAGTTAAGCAGGCTGAGCTGGACTGCAAGGGACATCCTATTCTTTCCCAGTGGCCACAACTCGGCCTTCAGCTGATCTGCTGGCAGGACAAGGCAACGCTCCAGCAGCGCTGTGAGTTTGTCCTCTGCATGGCAACTTAATGAGCCGTGTGCTGCATTACCCGACTTTCTTATTCCAGGGTTTGGGAACAGGAGGATTCTGCTAACAAAGACATTTTCATTGCTGGATTAACTCCTGCCATATTAGGTGAGGGCTAAGACCCAAGATTTTATTAAAAATACACCATTTCCACGGAGCCTGGCGTTGGGCTGATTATCCTCTTATTCAAATAGCTGGGCAGCTATGGGGAAAGGAAGAACGGCCCAAGCCGCCCTGTGTCCATCTGGGTTGAGCGCCTCGAAGGCACAAAACCTTTTTTCGACCCTATTTGAGAACGGGCTGAGCCACAGAGGTTGGCAGCTGGGTGATGTGCTGCGACTGTGCTGCCCCAACAGAGGGAAATAGGAGGCAGGGGGGTTCTTCCCAACCCAGCCTGCAGTTTGTGGCAAAAGAGGCGGATTTTCCTGCAGAAATGGTAAATTTGGATCATTCCTCTTGAAAAGGGGGGTTGGAAGCTGGAGGGAAAGTTCTGCACAGAGCAGTCGTGCATCCTGATATGCAGTGCCAGAGCGTAATGATGTGGATGGGGATTTGGTTGCTGATGACAGGGGGCTCTGACCTGGCAAACTCCATGGATGGGGAAAAAATGCAGGAGATCCCATGGAAATGAGGTGCAGAATGCTCCTGGGCTGAGAATTTGATTGCACTGCGTGTAGGGCTGGTTGCATTCTGCAGTTCACAACCTGCCCAGTGCCCACTAGGTAGTGCATAGGTGTGTATATGTAAATATATAGGGATATATTACCCTCCTGGCTGCTACACCCATTTCTCTCACCCTTTCCTTCAGCATCCCATGTCTTTATTGGGCATGGGAGAGATGGGTTGATGGTTGGACTGGATGATAGTGGTCTTTTCCAATCAATTTTATCTCTTTGCACAGAGATTTTGGGACAGATATACTCAGAGATGCCACACTCTTCAATAACTGCTTGGCACCTTCAACGTTTTGCTCAAAGTCCCTCTCATTTTTATTTTTGAACCCTGGCATCCTATAGAACCCAACAAATCAATCTCCTTTTCTTGCTGGGCCCTTTCTGCAAGGGCTTGGCTGGAGTTCATCTTTTCACAACGTTTTTTTCCCCCCCTCCGTCAGTGTCTCCAGCTGCTGAACGTCTCCGTTACATCCTGGGTGATGACGATGAGCCCCCCAACCCCACACTCTTCACAGAGATGGACACACTGCAGCACGACGGGGAGGAGATGGAGTGGAAGGAGTCAGCCAGGTGAGACAAGCCACCCCTTAAGTCAGAAATGCATCAGCCATAGCCAACCCCAGCTATTCCTAGCTGGAAACACTGCCCTGTGCAGTGAGTCAGTGGATAAGCATTGTTTCAATGAGGTTAAGTACAATCCTTTTGGCTTTTGGTCGTGTCCAGTGCAGGGAAATGCAGAGAGCACAGCATTCTCTGGGTCGTTGCTGAAGACGTAGAGGAGGGAAGGAAGAATTCCCATCTTTCCCACATCTCCCCAGGCTGTGTCAATCCCAGAGCTGGGGCTCTTCCCCCCTGGATACACCTACATTTCCCCTCCTGCCTGCTACGTCTCTTCCACTCATCCTTTCCCCCATCACAGGGACTTTGGGACAGTTTTACTTAGGATTTCCCTATTTCTCAGTAACTGGTGTTGGCACATTCACTGTTTTACCCAAAACCTCTTTTTTTTTTTTTTTTTTTTAACCTAGCCTCCTAAATAGCTCTGCAAATCCCCTTTTCTCCTGGTTGCCAGCCCTGCTCTAGGAGCAGCATTGCAGAGATGCTGTTGATGATATATATTTTCCTCCCCATTTGGTATGGCTGTGTTACATGTGCACATCACCCCCCTTCCCAAAAGCACTCAACACACAAAAAAAATCCCAATGCGATGGGCTTTTCATCAGGCACGATGTTGGCTGATGAAGGTTTCCAAATCCCTCCCATGAGAATGGAGTTCTCAGTACCCAGATTTCCTCTCTCCACTGAGGAGCAGTTCAACCTCTTGAGCTGCAGGAGAGCTGCTCCTTGGCACGGCTGCACTACCTGTGGTCAAACCCCGCTGTGGGATTTAGTCCCTGAGAGGGGAAACAAAGAAATGAGCACAGCAGGTGGGGGTTTTGCTGGAGCTTTTGCAAAGGCCATCGTGGGGTGCTGCTCCCAGGGCAGAGCAGACGTGCCTCAGGTTCCAACGCCATCCGGAGCAGCTCTCACGGCAGTGCATGCATGCTAACCCACTTTCAGCAGGAAAATGGGGCAAAAGAGAAAGGAAAACCAACCTAATCGGCTTTGGGTGAGCAATGTGTCTTAGTGGTGCTGTGGCTGGGGCAGGGAGAAGCTGGAACTTCCTCCCAATAAAAGCAGTGTTGTTTGGAAGGCTGCAGAAGGGGTTCCTGCGAATAAATTGGGATGAGGAGCTTTGGAGCCACGGATGCAGTGCTGGTCTTAGGGACAAGCTCTGGATTTCTGTCCTCTGCATATTCCATTCCTGGCACTCCCAGGTGGTATTTTGTGGCCTTTTTTCCTTGCATCTTCTCTTTCCAGCAGCACTTTAATGCACCTCCTGCAGCTCACGCAGTCCCAGGCTCTCCATGAGCCATCAGAGACTCCCAGAAGCCATGCGCCTCCAGCACCTTTCTGTCTGTGCCCTCTGCAGCAGCAGGGATCCAAATCCATGTTATAGCAGTTAGAAGTTGCAAGGTTGAGCCTTGCCAGGACTAATCCATGGAGCCTGCAGACCTGCTTTAAAAAGAAATAAAAAGGAATAAAAAGGCAGCTTTCTTCCCCAAATTGACGACTCTCCAAGCGCTCTGTTCCCAGGGAGCTGGAAGAAATCAACCACTGCTCCCAGATCTGCCTCAATGTCTCTGGCTTGTGAAATGAAGGAATGGAGGAGAAGGGCTTATTTCCAAGGGACAGGAGCTTGCATACCTTCTCCTCTCCCACCTTGGGAATGAATTGCATTGAATTTTGAGCATTGCTAAGATGTTAAAAAGATGCAACACTGTGGATTTATGCATCCCTGCATGCATAGAGATGAAGTTCTGCCACTCTGTGTAAGTGCAAAGCCTGGCTAAGGCAAGGTCAGCTCTGTGGGAAAACCTCCCACATCAGTACCAGGAGTTCATCAGCTGCAGGGCTGCGTGGTGGAGGCAAGTTGGTTTTGCTCCACTCTGCAACTGCACAAGCAATGAGAATGAGGTGGCTTCATTTCTGTGTTCTCACCCTGAACAGCGAGCAAACTCTTTGCAGGAGGAGGTGATGAATTAACTCAGGTTTGTAAACTTCCTGAAGAAATGCAGTTCACTTCTTCCCCTCGCACAGCAGCTCCACTCCAGGCCCATTCCCAGCTCTGCTGCTGTCGTTTCAGGTGGATAAAGTTTGAAGAAAAGGTGGAGGAAGGCGGGGAAAGGTGGAGCAAACCCCACGTGTCCACGCTGTCTTTGCACAGCCTGTTTGAGCTGCGGACGTGCCTGCAGACAGGAACGGTGCTCCTGGATCTCGATGGTTACTCTTTGCCCCAAATCATAGGTATGAGTCTGCAGGTAGCAGCAACTCGCACAAAGGGAAGTGAAGATGGCAGTTGAAAGCCATCAGATCGGTCCAGTAAGAGTCGATGGCTTTTTAGGTTTCTGGGAAGGGGGAGAAGGTTTTGCAGTGGGGTGACTCTCCCTCGTTTGATGCTTTCAGACGATGTCATTGAGAAGCAGATAGAGGATGGTCTGCTCAAACCTGAGCTGAGGGAAAAGATCAGCTACGTGCTCCTCAGGAAGCACCGCCACCAGACCAAGAAGCCAATCCACCGCTCCTTGGCCGACATCGGCAAGTCGGTGTCCTCCAACACAAGTGAGTGCTATAGGGGCGAAAGACTCATCGAACCATCTGGTAGGGTTGGCATCCCTGTTGCATCCCAATTCCATCCTTCAATCTTCACTTAGCAGTCCCTGGGGGAAGCAGATCTCGGGAGACAAAGAAGCAGAAATGCCAACCATCTGGGGCATAAAACTGTTTATGGCAGCAGGAAAGACCCCAGAAGTTTTGCCACCCTCTGAACGTGGCAGGTCATGGAAGCTAAAAGCCAGAGAAGTGTCTGCTGAGGTGGACAGAAGCATTGGCGGTCACTTGGCCAAGGGGCAAGCAGCCTGCAGACAAATCCAGTCTGCTCCGTCACTGAACCTGCCTATTTCTGAGCCCTTATAAAAGGGGATTTGTTTGTTTTCACGCTAGATTATTTACTTAGATTTAAATGGAGCTCATTTGGTGGAGCCCAGGATTTGCCAGGCTACAGCTGCTCTCTGGGCAGACACAAACAGCAGAACCCAAAGTGCACGTGGAAGAGGCTGTCAGTAAGCAATATATCCACCCCATGGGCATCCCGAGGTTTTACAGCAGCCATCATCCACATCACAGGACTAGATATTGGAGCTAATATTTGTCCAGAAGCTCTCAAAACAGAGCACAATTTGGAAATTTTGTAGTTACTCCCTGTAGATATGGAAAAGAGGGGTTTCTTTCATTCATTTCTTGTGTTTTGCTAAGATGATGGCATTGCTTTGACTTTGCAAGGAGGAACAACAAGGAGTAGCAAGGAGGAGCTACAAAGGTGGTTGATGGCAGGGACAGGTGTGTCCTCACGTCTCTTGTGCCAACAGGAAATCTTCAATACCAGAATAAATACTGCTGGCACACAGAAAAACAGGACGTACCAGGTTCCATCCTTATTTCCAGTTGCGTTGGTGTTGGGTTGTAAAGAAAAAGAGGACGGTTGCTGTGGTTGCAGCTGGTGTTTCAGAGAGAAGCAGTGCAGCCCTTCAAACCTGGAGCAGAAGGTTTTCCCCAAGGAAAACACACTCTGGGAACTTTTTATTACGTTGGCCCACAGTGCCAGAAGCAGATGTTGGCAGGATGGCAGTGAAGGTTGACCCTTTGCACCAATATCCCACTACATGTTGTTGCCATGTGACAGATGGCAGCAGAGGGGTAGCTGGGCAGAATGGAACTCCTGGCATGGAAGTGCAGATGAAGCAAAGGGCTGGAACTGAATTCCTCCATGTGGAAAAAATGGCCCCCATTGACATTTGCCAACACTTATGAATGTTTACAAAGAACAAACCGAATGTGAGCACAGTAAAAGTAGGACTGCATGGGGCAATATTTTGCTAGCAATGATGCTGTCATAGCAGCTGTGCAACAGTGGAGCACCTCTGCTGGTGCAGGTTTTTACAAGGGTGGCACACAAGCTCTTGTTCATCACTGGTGAAAATCCACAGCTCACGGTGGTGATTTTGTTGGAAAACCATGATTTGTAGCTGAGAATCTGCTCCATCAGAGAGTGTTACTGTGCTCTTCGTGTCCGTTTTCATGGAAATAAATAGGAGGCATTACTTTTGGAGTGACCTATGTAGAATTGCGGGCTTCAAAATCAAAATGTGAAGCACTGGTTCTTTGGGAACAGCAACTGCCATCTGAACCCAGCTTTGATGGGCTCAAAGAGAGCCTTGCCCAGGCTCTGGGGGGGCGCAGGCGCTTTGCACGGAGAGCACGCGAGGCTTAAGGCAGCAAAGTCTATTTCTCGCTAATGGAAAAACTACTATGGGTGGAATAAATTGCAGATGAGTTCAGAGGCAAAAGCAAACTGCGGGTGTAGCGGTGCCATAAAGGCCACCCCAGCACCAGGAGGCCGATGACGAACCTCCTGCCCCCCTCCCTGTGGTTCCCCCTTCTTCTCTATCCTTTCTTTTCCCAGGTCGCAGCCCCGTCCGCAGCCCAGCTGCAGGTGCTGCCTTCCATCGCTCCACGGAGGACCTTCGGATGCGGCAGAGCGCGAGCTACGGCCGCCTGCGTAAGCTGGGGTGGGCAGCAGGGAGCTGAAACCATCCGAAAAAGGAGCAGGGAGGGGAGGGGGGGGGAACAAAACTGATTTGCAATGTGAGATAGAGTTCTGCCACACACCCCTCTTTGGCCACCAATGTGTTGTGCAGCTGTAGGATGGCTGGTGTTAGCAAAGCTGCTGTTGTTATTGAGCTTTTATCTTTGTGCTGTGCTAAATAATGATCTGTTCTCACTGAAGTCATGGCATCACAGAATCACAAGGTTGAAAAGGATCTACAAGATCATCCAGTCCAACTGTCCTCCCATTAGCCTTGCTTCCTCAAGCCACTAAACCACATCTCGTAGCTCCTCATCCAGACAAAGTCCTCCTGCCCCGTTTTGTTCTTCCAAGTGGGGCTGAAATTCAGCTGCACAACGTATGGAGTTTTTCTCACCCTGCTTCTTTCTTGTCTCCAGGCCACGTGCAAAGCCGAAGCATGAATGATATCTCAGACACACCGAGCACCGACCAGGTATAATGCCCAAATTTTTGTGCCATGTAATGAGGAGCATCTCTAACACAACTGGCTGCTGTGGGCCTGCTTGCAAACGAGCTGTGATGTGTGGGGACTCCGTGAGAGTTAAGGTCCATGTGAGCATTGTGCAGTCAATAACCACACAAATTACTAATTAGTGAAACGAATACGTATTGATCCTTGTTCATTCATGGGGAAGCTGTCCCAGAAACAACCATAGGATTACAAAATCCTTTACTTTGAAAAAGACCTTCAAGTTCATCGAGTCCAGTCATCAAACTGACCTATCAAGTGTTTCTTTATGGAAAGAGTGTTGGGTGTTGGAACACGCTGCCCAGGGAAGTGGTGGAGTCGCCATCCCTGGAGATACGTAGGAGATGTGCAGATGTGGCACTTAGGGATGTGGTTCAGTGGTGGAATTGTGGAGGTAGGGAGATGGTCGACTTGATGGGGTTGGAAATTAAGAAAAGTTTATTCTCAAGAAGGGTGTGGAGGCACTGGCAGAGGTTGCCTGGAGATGTGTTGTGGTCACCATCCCTGGAGGTGTGCAAGAAAAGGGTAAATGTGGCACTGAAGGACGTGGTCAGCGTGCGTGGTGGGATGGGTTGGGCTTGGGGATCTCAGTGGTCTTTCACTGCCTTAATGATTCTACGTGTGGTGAAAACATAGGAAAGGAAATGGGTTTGACAGTGCATGTGTGAACACATCCAAAACAGTGCCTGCTGGGTGCAGGCAGCTTGCTCGGGGTAAATCCCAACCAGTACTAGGGGCTGCAAACAAGAATACAGCCCAGAGAGGTTTAAAGCTGTATTTAAAATCTGTTGTCTGCAAGTGCAGTAATTAGGCATGCTTCCTGTGCCATCCTGCCAACATATGGCTTACAGGATGGGGCTTGCAATTCAGTCCTGGGAAATACATTTGATGTTTCCCTACAGCTTTCAGTGTTTTGTGTATTTGACCTGAGGCATCTGGTGGATATATTTGAAGTCCAGCTGCTGGAGCCAGAAGCAATGCTGACTGGGGGAAACATGGCACAAGGGCTAAAACTGTGCAGGTTGAGTACAAAATCTGTCAGCTGTGAGTTAATTAGCCAGCCCAGAGAGTGGGGATGGAAGGGTCTGGCAGGGATTTGCAGGGTACAGTGTGGTGTAAGTGGTTGCCTTGCCCCAAGGGACATCCTCAGTGCTCTTATCTGATGTGATGCAATGGATGGAAATCCCCATTTTCCTGGGTTGCCTGAGCATAACGCTCTGGGGCTCTTCATGCCATGGTAACACCACCAAGCTTGACCTCACCCTTTAGTGCTGGCTTTGAAATATGTCATCGTCTGCCAAAAGGGATTGTGTCTCCTCTGCCTGCTTCTCTTGCTCGCTGCCCTCCAGCACGTGGCACGTCCCCAAACCCAGGTACTGGGCATGAGGAGGGAGCAGCAGGATGAGGAAGCCATGGTGCATGAGAGACAGCTCACAGAAAGAAGTTTTTGCAGTGCATCTTCCTATATTACAGCTGCAATGAAGCAAGCAAATTGCCCTGCAAGGGACCCCAAATACCAGCCTCCAGTGGTGGGATGCAGAGAGTTAATTCCAAAATATGCAAAGCATGTAGTACCAAGAGTGCTGGACATAATCACTCTGTAGGCCTGCTACAAAGGGACTTGTTCAATGTTACATGAAGCTTAGTGGCCACTGTTAACTCCTGCTCTTGCTTGTTCCAAGCTGCATTGGAGGAATTGGTTTATTATTATTTTTCTTTTCTTTTTCTTTTTTTTTTTCCTTTTTTTTCTTTTTTTTTTTTTTTCCATTCGGGTTTAAAGGATTAGAAAGGGAGAGCTTGCTGCCCTGCTCACATGCCTCCCCTCATGCTGGCATATAGATTATAATAACACCCTGCCTCGGTTTGTATTGAACCATTTTGGGCTAATAATGAAAGAGCTGCAGGGGAGAAGAGACCCAGGGAAAAAAATCCATGGTGGAGGTTTCCTGCTTGCATTTCCATTCCTGCTCTGAGGATGGAATGTGGGCAAACGAGCTACAAAGACAGAGCTCAACCCACCAGTGCAAAGCAGCAAGTGGTGGCTCAGCCTTCCAGGGGAGCCTGGGGCTACGGGGTTGCAAGCAGGCTTAGAGAGACGCCTGCAGGCTTCCCACAGAATCAGTATTTTTGGCTTAGATTTTATGCAGTCAGTCTGGGGATTGCTGTGGACTTTCCTTGCTTAGACCCCAGCACAGCAAAGCACCTTTTCCAACACATGGAGTGGCACGTTTGCATTAAGCAGCCCGGAGCGCGTGCTCCCAAGTTTATCTTAGGCTGGGAGCTGCTGTTGAAATTCACAGATTCAGCTTTACGAATTCTCCCTGTTTTATTTGTGGAAATGGCCCTCGCATCCCTTGGGAATCCCAGGAGCATCAGAGAGCTGAGGTTGAAGCCTGCAGCCCAACCTGGTGCTGCAGCTTTAGTGTTTGTAGTCAAGGTACAGGAGAGGAGGACAGGTTGGATTTTAGCAACCGCTCGCTTCCCTACCTCATCTTCCCCAACAGCTGAAAAACAAATTCATCAAGAAGATCCCCAAGGATGCGGAGGCCTCCAACGTGTTGGTGGGAGAAGTGGAATTCCTTGAGAAGCCCTTCGTAGCGTTCGTGCGGCTGCTCCAGGCAACCATGCTGGGAGGGGTGACGGAGGTGCCCGTCCCCACCAGGTGAGCCTGGTTCTGAAGCGCTGGCTGGTCTCGCAGCAGGGGATTTGGCAGTGTGAGGATGCCAACACGGTGCCACTCCCTTCCCAGATTCCTCTTTATTCTCCTGGGCCCCGCAGGAAAAGCCAAATCCTACAATGAGATCGGCAGAGCCATTGCGACCCTCATGGTGGATGATGTGAGTAAATACCAAACCCGGCCCTGCTGGGAGCCCTCTTGCTCAGAGCTAAGAGAAAAATGCAGTTTGCATCCTATTGCTCAAACGAACAAACTTTAAACATCCATAACGACGTGGGGGGGGACATATGGGCTCTGTCCCCAAACTGACAGCTCTCTTGACCCTTAGCTCTTCAGTGACGTTGCTTACAAAGCCCGAGATAGAGAAGACCTGATTGCTGGCATAGACGAATTTCTGGATGAAGTCATTGTCCTGCCACCTGGCGAGTGGGACCCCAACATTAGGATCGAGCCACCCAAAAAAGTGCCCTCAGCTGAGAAGAGGTGAGTGGGAGACGTGGGGTTGGCCCCAGCCCTGTGGTTGTCCCCATCTCTCTCGTTTTGGAGATGCTTGTCCTCATCCCTGTGTGTAACCTCTGCAGTAATAATAATTCCCACAGGAAATCAGTTTTCTCATTGAATGAAGTGGGGCAAATGAATGGCACAGCTGGAGGGGCAGGTGCTGGGAGCGGTGGAGGAGGCAGTGATGATGGGGAGATGCCTGAAGTGCATGAAATTGGGGAAGAGCTCGCGTGGACTGGGAGGTGAGCATCACCTGGCCACCCAAAAACCCCAGAGGGTGCTGTCACCCATCAGCATCTCCTGCTGCTCACCCTGTGGCTTCCAAGGGTGCAAGGGTGAATTCCTAAAGGGAATTTTGTACAGTGCTGTACGCATTTTGGATCTCATCCTTGGTTTTATTTCCACAGGTTCTGTGGTGGCCTCTATTTGGATATCAAGAGGAAGCTTCCCTGGTTCCCAAGTGACTTCTATGAAGGCTTTCATATCCAGTCCATTTCTGCCATCCTCTTCATCTACCTGGGCTGCATCACCAATGCCATCACATTTGGGGGTTTGCTTGGAGATGCAACAGACAACTACCAGGTGGGGTCCAAGGACAGGAGTCACTTTGGCTTAACAAAGGCAAATGGGGATGAGATGGAATGGAGTGGGAGCTGTGCCAATCTTTGATGCTAGGGGTGGAAATTCATTCCCAAGTCATAGAATAGAATCATAGAATTGCTCAGGTTGGGAAAGACCTTAAAGATCATCAAGGCCAACCACATTCCAACAACCCACCACTAAATCATGTCCCTGAGCACCACATCCAGATGATTTTTAAATACATTCAGGGATGGAGGCACAACCACCTCCCTGGGGAGCCCATTCCAGTGCTTAACAACCCTTTCTGTAAATAAGTTCTTCCTGATATCCAAGCTAAACCTCCTCTGGGGAGGCTGTCCCCAGATACTTGGAGGATGGGAAAGCCCATATCAGCGACAATACCAAGAGCAAGGGAACATGATCCCAGGCCACCCTATGTGAGTCCAAATAGGAGTCCGTAATTCCCATCCCTACCTGGGGTATCCCTGGGGATGTAACCTGGCACTGCACCACATAACCCTGGGTGTAATCTGTTCCCAGGGTGTCATGGAGAGCTTCCTTGGCACAGCAATGGCAGGTTCCATGTTTTGCCTCTTTGCTGGACAGCCGCTCATCATCCTCAGCAGCACCGGCCCCATCCTCATCTTTGAGAAGCTGCTCTTTGACTTCAGCAAGTAGGTGCTGAGTGATGCCAGAGGGATTGGGAACTCCGTTACCGGGATGGGGTCTGACCCCCAACCCAACGTGTTCCTGAGCTGCTCTCATTTTCTGCCTGCCTTCAGAGGTAACGGCATCGACTACATGGAGTTCCGCCTCTGGATCGGCCTGCACTCTGCCCTACAGTGCCTTATCCTGGTGGCCACTGACGCCAGCTTCATTATAAAGTACATCACCCGCTTCACAGAGGAAGGCTTCTCCACCCTCATCAGCTTCATCTTCATCTACGATGCCATCAAGAAGATGATAGGGGCCTTTAAGTACTACCCCATCAATTCGGACTTCAAGCCAGACTATGTGACCATGTACAAATGCGAGTGCGTTGCTCCTGACCCAGGTGAGTACAAACCTTTCTCAGCGTTGGATGGGGATGGTGAGGGGAGGTGGGTGCCCGCGGGGGGTCCCACTGTAGGTAGATCCCAACTGGATCATCAGCCAACGACATTCAAGGAGCTACCAGTGAGACTGGGGCAGAGAGACCTCATCATCCTCCATCGGGGGTGATTTGGGGCAAGGTGTTGGAAATGGAGCCTATCCCATGGCCAAGCATGTCAGTGCTTGCTGGGATGTGTTGGAGAGCCCGGAGCAGCTGGACCTGGATGGATAAAAAGATGGAAAGAAAGATTTTTATTTATTTATTCATTTTCCTTGGATCACTGATTCCACCCTGCTGCCAATGGAAACTTCTTTCCAGAAAACACACTGAGTCCTTTCCTGTTTCTGGAATGCAGTAAGGATATCCCAATTGGGTTTGGAAAAACTCTTGGACTTTTTTTCTTTTTGTTTGTTCGTTTGCTTTCCTCTTTTTCTTACTCCTCTTCAAAAAGAAGAGGCCACAAGGCTCTGAGCAGGCAGTCTTTTGGCATCTCCTCTGGTTTTGATCCAGTTTCTACTAAGAGGAAGAAGCTGCAATCATCACAAGCTGTTCTTTGGGGGAAGTGAAGCAAAGGCATTTTCCAGACGTAGCTTTCTCTGATGGTGAAGAGGACTATAATTCACGCTGCCTTTTGCCAACAGTACCTCTATTTGCTCCTGGATAGACGTGCAATGATCCCAAATCCACATCGTGCAGCTCAAACGCTCCCAGTGACGGTCCCAGTGTGGAGCTAATGCCAGTGACCACTTCTCTCAAATGGGCCAAATTTATTTGAAAAGTAGAAAAGCAAACGATCTGTGGGGCGTATCAGCTGCAGGTGGAGGAGAGAAAGAGGGGTGACAGCAAAGAAACAAAAGCTTCCAACACCTGCCATATAACCTGCCCCAATGCGTCCATTGCTTCAAGAAGAGATCTGACATGCCAGGATGGAAATAGCATTCAGCCCCCTGTTTGATGGGGTTTTGTGGTTGTTGTTCTTTTGACTCAGTTCCCATTTACTCACCGTGCGCTGAACGACTCGATCCCATCAGGTTTTGGATGGAAGCTCCCAGCGATGGCGCTTGTCCTTTTGGAAGCCAGACTCCCCCAGTGTTGGCCAGCTTAGCCCAAGTGCAACCCCCAGGGCTGAAACATCACAGCCTCAAAGAGTTCTCTCCCTTCCAGAGCCCCCACCCCAGCCTCTGCCCAGAGCAAGCCCCCCTGTTGGCACCAAGAGCCATCCACAGCCCCAAACCTCCAACCTCTGAGCAATCCGGCCCCTCTTCCTCACCTTTGCTGCCCTGGGCACCAAAGCAATGATGGATTTTCCATGCCTCTAGATGTTGAGAAGTTGTGTTTATTCTCCCCTCCATACTCTTTTTTTTTCTTCTTCTTCTTCTTTTTTTTTTTTTTTAAGTAGTTCTGATTTTTTATTATTATAACTGATTTGTACCATATTTGTCTCTGCTGCACACATCAATTTGGGCTGATTTCAATCTCAAGTGAGTATCACCTTCTAAATATTAAAGCTCTTTTAATATTTGATACTCGTACCGCCTCCAAGGGGGCTTTTGTTGTTATTTTTTTTCATGTATTTTACTCTTCTCTCTGCTCCAATAGAAGGGTTTATGTAGAGCCCTTACAGGTTCCCATGTTCCATACTGCCAATGCTACGCCATTCTTTGGGTTGTAGAAGTAATAAAAAAAAGAAAAAAAATCTGATTTCTGGAAAAGCAAAAGGTTATGGAGGGAAATAATAATGATAACAACAACAACAACAAATGTTTTAATGCTGTAAACAGGGCTGGGTTTGCCAGCACTGCTTCCTGGAGCCTGGTTCCAGCAGCCCCCAGCATCTCTGCTTCTAACCCAGCAATTGCTTCTCCTTCATTAATTCTCTGCACCCGGGAAGGCTGCAGCAAGGTGGAGCAGCCAAACTCCCACCTGACCACAGGAAGAGGATGGACCCCAGGGACTGGGGGGGAGAGCAACCCCAGACCCCATGTAATGCAGCACGAGGAGCTCCCGACACCGCGGAGCTGCATTGCCTGAAGAGCAGAACCTCTCTGTGCTGGAGGAGAAGGTGCCATGGTTAGAGAGGAGAGCCCAGCAGGTTGCCTTTTACTGATTGCTTTGCAGTGAGCCACAAAAACACCTCTCTAAAAAAAATAATATATACATATATATATATACATACATAAAATAACGCCAATGCCAAGCTATGCCAACAAATTGGGCGTTACTGGGTTCCACCTCTCCAAAATGGACAGGCTGCTTTCTTGGTCTCTATTCTCCCCTCTTCCACCCTTTGGATTGCACCTCTGACCTGGGTGGCTCCAGGGGGAGTGCATGGGATTAATCAGGGAGAAGTTACTGTGGGGTTAGAAACAGGGTGTGCTCCCCAAACCTTGGTCAGCCCTTGGGTGTTTGACCGCTGCACGGGGCTTCAGAGGACGTGCTTGGCCCCACGTTTGCTTTTACATCCCCCGGTCTGAGCCATGCTTCTCTTCATGGAGCCTGGCCAATTTTTAATGCAGGAACCTCTCTGTTAGCCAAGAACCTTAATAACAAACTTCTTTCCTGCAGCCAACATGACACTGTTCGATGCTTCAGTTCCAGTAGCACCAAACACCACTAACGTATCTCTGGTAAGCGGGGTTGTGTGCTCCCATGGGGGGAGGTGTGCCATGGCTGCACTGAGGGCTGGCACCAGGGTTGAGGTTTGGGGGAATGCTTTGCATCGGTTTGGGCTCACAGTTTGACTCGGCAGCACCAAATCCCCACCTTTGAGCCCAAATTAATGGCGTCTCTGGGGTCTTCCCACAGTTACGGGGTTGGAGCAGCTCCCATTGGAAATTCCCCTTCCTTGTACACCACCATTGCTTAACGCTAATTTTGATTTTTCTTTTTTTTGGGGGGGGTTCTCCCCAGTACAATGCTATTAACCTCACAGCTCTGGATTGGACTCAGCTGAGTAAGAAGGAGTGTCTCAAGTACGGCGGCAGCTTAGTGGGGAAATCCTGTAAATTTGTGCCCGACCTGGCCCTCATGTCCTTCATCCTCTTCTTTGGGACCTACTCCATGACTCTCACCTTGAAGAAGTTCAAATTCAGCCGCTACTTCCCCACCAAGGTAAGAACAGCACCAACATCTGCAGGATTTTGCCCCAATCTTTCCCAAAGGTAGGAAAAACGGGAGCTGCCGGTCTCCTTGCTGGGTGAGAAAATAAATCCGTGTTTCTCTTTTACAAGAAAAGGAGATGTTGGTATCAATAAGGACAATCCTCTCCAAGCTTTCAGATGCTGCTTGGGCTCTTGTGTGCTGGATATCCCAATGCCATGCGATGCAAAAGGGGGAAAAATGCTTTTTGTGAGTTATGCCCATCCATGTGCAGTGCTGGAATGCCAGGGGGAAGCATCAGACACGGGAGCAAATTCCTCCATCCCATTAATTGCCCTTTCTGCCCCCATTTCCCATCTGCCTCCAGGTTAGGGCCTTCATTGCTGACTTTTCCAATGTCTTCTCCATCCTGCTGTTTTGTGGTGTGGATGCCTGTTTCGGCCTGGATACCCCGAAGCTGCACATCCCCAGTATCATCAAGGTTTGGCCGCACTGCTGTGGTCTGTGCCTCTCCAATGCTCTCTCTTCAGCTTCTCAGTGCTTTTGGGGGGGACATGGTGGTCCCCTTCTTTTCGGGGCAAAAAACATGGTGTCTGAGTGCCTTCTGAAATACTGCTTGGCGTTTCGGGGGGAATATTCTAATTCTGTGACTTTTCTTCCTTCTTTTTCTTTCCTTTCCCCTCTCTCTGTTCTTCCCACCTCTCACTCCGGCAGCTCCGTAAGCTCATTAGCGATTTCTCTATCTTTATGTCCATACTAATGTTTGTGGGGCTGGATGTGCTTTTCGGACTGAACACCCCAAAGCTCCAAGTGCCTACTGACTTTAAGGTAAAAAGCAATAAATCCCTTTCTGGAAGTGTTGCTGAAAACATCTCTTCCCCATCAGTGGTGTGGGGCTCCTCCCCTGTGCGAGGGCAGCTCGGTCCAGATGAGCATCTGGGGAGTATTTGGGGCTGCAGCACGTGGCTCTAGGGGTGGATGGACATGGGATAAAGTGATGCTTATAAGGAATGGGGTGTGAGGTGATGTGGGGCTTGCCAAAATTTCCAAGCCTAGGATTCTTCTCGGCTGTGGCATGCAAACTGCTCTCTCCCTCCAGCCCACGCGTGTGGACCGAGGGTGGTTTGTCTTTCCCTTTGGGAAGAACCCATGGTGGGTGTACCTGGCCAGCGCGCTGCCTGCCCTGCTCGTCACCATCCTCATCTTCATGGACCAGCAGATCACAGCCGTCATCGTCAACAGGAAGGAGCACAAGCTGCGGGTGAGTCGGGATGCATCCTCACATGGGATCGTAGAGTCATGGAATTTGGGTTGGAAGGAACCCCTTGAGGGTCATCTGGTCCAACTCTCCTGCAGTGAACAGATCCATCAGTGCTCAGAGCCCTGTCCAGGCTCATTGAGCAATAGGATGTCTTTGGTTGGAAGGGACCTCAAAGATCATTTGGTTCTGACATTCCTGCCTAGTGCAAGGTTCCCAATCACTAAATCAGGCACCAGATCAGGCTGCCTACAGCCCTGTACAACATGAAATGGGTCATCACCACTCTGGGCAGCAGTGCCATGGCCTCAATGTCCTCTTAGTAAAAAATTTCCCCGGCATCTAATCTAAATCTCCCCTCTCGCGCTTGGCCATACTGAACTTCATTACATTCTCATGGGCCAACTTCTCAAGCCCAACCAGGTCCACCAGGATGCCATTCCTTCCTTTTATTGTGCCAGCTGCACCCACTCAGATCGGTGTCATCTCCAAACCTGCTGAGGGTGCTCTCAATCCCACTGTCAGTGTCACTGATAAAGATGTGAAAGAGCTCCGGTCCAAAGAAGGGTGCCCAATCCAGGGGTAATGCAGGGCACTTCGTGGGCTGCAGAGTGCAGCCAGGGGAAATCTCTGCCTTGCTGGGCCCTGTGGTGTACAGAGGTACCTCCCCACACCCCCCTGTGACCCCTGCACTGTGTTGCAGAAAGCAGCAGGCTACCACCTGGACCTCTTCTGGGTGGGCATCCTCATGGCAGTGTGCTCCTTCATGGGGCTGCCCTGGTACGTGGCAGCCACCGTCATCTCCATCGCCCACATCGACAGCTTGAAGATGGAGACAGAGACCAGCGCTCCTGGGGAGCAGCCCCAGTTCCTGGGGGTCAGGTGAGGGGGGCTCAGCCGTGCTCTGCCCCAGTGTTGTGGGAACCCATCGGCACAGCATCTCCCCCCTCTTTCCCCACCCCAGGGAGCAGAGGGTGACGGGCATCATTGTCTTCGTGCTCACAGGGATTTCTGTCTTCCTGGCCCCGATTCTGAAGGTAAAATATCCCCCACTGCCTCATCCCTGCTCTGCAGGTGGTCGGGGTGGATTTTTTTCCCCCTGTTCGTCCCCCAGCATTTGTCCCCCTCCCCAGGAGTGAGCTGCTGCCTTCCTTGGGGTAAGGGCCGTGTTTTTCCATGTCCCCAGTACATCCCCATGCCAGTGCTGTACGGTGTCTTTCTGTACATGGGCGTCGCATCGCTGAACGGCATCCAGGTGAGCACTCCTCCTCTCCTGCCACAAAAGGGCCCCACACTTGATCAGAAATCAGAGAATCACAGTATCATCGTGGTTGGAAGATCCCCAACCCATCCCAGCATCCCCACTGACCACATCCTTCACTGCCACATCTCCACGGTTCTGGAACACCTCCAAGGATGGTGACCCCACCACCACGCTGGGCAGCTGTGCCAGCGCCCAACCAGTCTTTTGGAGAATAAATTTGTCCTCATATCCAACCTGAACCTCCCCTGGTACAACTTAAGGCCATCACCTCTCTTCCTAATGCTGTTACTTGGGATCAGAGTCCAACTCCTTCCTCTCTACACCTCCTCAAAGATGAGGATTTTGGACCCTAGAACTTTTCCATCCCCAGCATTTCCAGCCACGTGGGGCAGCAAATATCCAAACCCCTCTGTGAAACATCACAGAGCCCCAGCTGCCCCATTTGTGGCACAGAAAGAGGATTTCTCCGGGCAACTGGGAGCCTGCATGGGGGCAGTGGGGTTGATGGCTCACATCAGTCTTCATCCCACCCCAGTTCTGGGACCGCTGCAAGCTCTTCCTCATGCCAGCCAAGCACCAGCCCGACTACGTCTTCCTGCGGCACGTTCCGCTGCGCCGCATCCACCTCTTCACGCTGGTGCAGATCGTCTGCCTGGCCGTGCTCTGGATCCTCAAATCCACCGTGGCTGCCATCATTTTCCCTGTCATGGTAAGGCTCAGCACTGCAGCATTCCCCAGGCGGTTCTTGCTCGTTTTCTATTGCAAAAAAAAATCACACTGACTTTCTGATTTCCCATGGGCATCGCCCTTATTGCAGCCTTGCCTGCAAGATGCTGGGGTTGAAGCAAATCTCGGCAAGTGGTGGCCCCCAGTCCTCACTCTCCCCTCCCTCCCTCTCAGATTTTAGCCCTGATCCTGGTGCGGCGACTGCTGGACTTTGTCTTCTCCCAGCATGACCTGGCCTGGATTGACAACATCATCCCTGAGAAGGAGAAGAAGAAGGAAGATGACAAGAAGAAGAAGAAAAAGGGCAACAAAGGGGACAGCAGCAGTGATGAGGAGGTGTGCAGCTGAGGGGGCTGGGGGGAAGGTTGAGACAGCACAGACATGGGGAGGGGAAGGGTCCTACTGAAACCCCCAGGGCTGCAGTTTGGGGAGAAGGTCTTTGGGTTTGAAAGGGCAAATGAGTGCAATTTGGCCTCACCTCGTTCCAAAAGCTACTTGGCAGACTGCTGGGCTCAGTTGGGACAGTGGGTTTCTAGGGGGCCTCCTTTCTCAGCTGGAAGTGTTTCACCTCCGTGTCCTTCCCAGGAAAGAGGTCCCCCACCTGGAGCTCTGCGTTCTGACTCCTCTCCGAATGGTTCTGACATGGATCGCAGGTGAGCAGCACCCACAGCTCCAAAGCTCACCCTCATGTTGCCCCTTCCTGAGAGGCCCCCATCCACACCGTGAAACATTTCCAGGTCCAGCAGCCAATGCTTCCCACTGAGCATCACTTTTGCCACTACCTTGAGCCAGTTCCCATCAGTCTTTGGGCAATTCTGAAATGCTGAAGTATATTTTCACAGCATCCTTTATGACTTTTCAACTATTTTTTCCCAGTAGTAGCAATACCCAGAGCCCTTCCATGGGGGAGTTCTGGGCTATTTGGGGAGCAGGTGGGTGCCGCGCTCACCTCCATGTCCCCCTCCTCCTCCTCCTCTGCAGCATTACACTCCACCTGAAGATTTCATGCCCATCATCTCCTGCATTTAATTACTCCCGAAGCCCCATCTGTGCTGTGCCCCAGGTGAAGATAGAGATGGAGTCAGACTATGAGGACACCGACACCGAAAAGGCACCGCGGGACATGGGCAGTGAGACCACGCTATAGTTCCCTGCAGTGCTTCCTCTAATTTATATATATATATAGATATTTATATATTCATATATATATATAAAGCAAATTGGACATATTTTTCTACATGAGACTGAGGAGAGCGCTGGCTCCCAAGGCTGCTGCTCCTGTAGTTCTTACTGCTGTCCCATTTCCTCCCTTTCTGTTGGGCGAAGGCACCGGCGCTGATGGCAAAACGGGGCTCAAAATGTGGAAATGAGCATTTTTGGCCTCTGAACCACTGCTGGGCTGGAGAAGCCAAAGGCAGCTGGGGGTGGTGCTGGGGAACGTCCCAGCCATCCCATCAGGGTCCTGCTGTAGGGGAGGGGTTCTCCTGCCCAGGGGGACTCAGCACAGAGGCAGGGGATGAGGATGCGTTGGAGGCTGAGGACTGGCAGGAGGAGGGAAAGCTCAGGAGCTGCAGTGCCTGAGGTGGGTGTGTTGTGGGAGCAGCAGGAAGGAACAGAGCTTGATCACTGCTGCAGAGAACTGGGAATGCTTTCCATAAGGAACTGGGCAGCAGAGCTGAGCACGGCCATGCCTGACCCCGTGTCACTGCCCCAGCAAGGCGCAGTGCTGGGTCCCAAAATCCAGTAACGGGGCAGGAGCCCTGTTGTGCGCCCAGCCAGGCCCTTCCTGCACCTTCTCCTTGCCCCATACACACCAAGGAGCCTCCCAGCTCCTGGACAAGGGAGTCTGCACTCCTCAAGCTCCTCCACCCCCATTACACACACATGGTTTAACAGCAAACATCCCCCCACGTAACCCCAGGATGGGGCTTCTTCTGCCTTTATTTTAAGGCTGTAAAAAGCCCTCTCTCTTCCCCCAGGCAGAAACAGCCTACCTGGTATTTATAGGAGCTCTGTGCTCTTGCCAGCCAGCAGTTCCTGGGACACTGACTAAATATTGCACCTGGTCTGAACCTCCACGTGGGACAGCCCAGTTCTTTGTAAATAGTCAAGTCAAACAAGAAGGACTTGAATGCAATTTCGTGTTTATAGCAGTGTTTTTCTGGTTCAAGAACACCTATGGAACCATGGTGAGCTTAATAAGACAGCATTACTCTGGTCACCACTTTAGCTTGACGTTAACATTAAGAGCTATTGCAGCTTGGGTGCACCGTGTCTATTTTTTAGTATTTTGTACCAATCTCATGCATGGTAGCTGAAGCATGGCACAGGTAGGTTTCTGCTTGTAATCACTGCACCGTGGTTAATTTGCTTTATCCACTATGTCAGCTCTACTGCACAGCAGCCCTGGAAAGGCTTCATGGACTCTGGGGGCTGTTCCATAGGTCGCAGCTGAAGCCTCAGCTCAGATCCTTCTAGAACACAGCTTGTTTCGATTTATCCATTTTGCAAGCCTCACACATGGTTTATACTTTTTGTATATGAAATACTGGAGCGTCACAGATTTGCCAGCCCCGTTACAGTACTACTTTTAGCCATTTTGTATTTACCAGTGATACAATCCAATAAATCTCACTTAAATTAGTCTCAGCTCTCACTGTGTTTCTGGTGCAGCCTCAGCCCCTTGAACCTCAGCTTCCCTTTCCAGGTGCTCCCTGGTCAGCATCTGTATAAGCATTCTCCCCTCCAGGAAGAGAAATTAAAGGTGACTTTGCAGATGGCTGCAGCTCTTGCACAGCAACAGACCTTCAGCTCTGCAGCAAAGCTTGCCTGCACCCAGAAAGGTGGGATCAGTCCTCCCAGGGATACGTGACCACAGGTAAGGGCAACTGTAAAGAAAAAATTATTAGTTCTTTGTTTGCTCTTCCACTATCAGCTGTTGTTTCTCAGTTCAGAGCCATAGCGCAGTTGCATTTTGGTCAAACTCAGAGAAAGGTTGAGCCATCCCTGCTCTGAGAGCACAGGGAGCTCACAGTGCAAGTGTGGGAACTTATCAGGGAACTACAGAACTTGCTGAGCAGTGATTCCAGGAATCAAGCAGCATTCCCCTAACCCCATTCATTCCTGCTTTATTCAGAGTCAACCCCACTCAGTCCTTCCTCCCTTCATGCTACAGTCCAGGAAGCTCCCCATGTACCCAATACAGACACACCAACCGTCCTCCATTGCTCTTTGGTTGAAGAAAAAGCTTTTAAAAGTCACCATACAAACAGGAACAAACAAAAAAGCTTAGCTGCACACGATGAACATGGTACATCAGCTCTGCCACTGCCCAGAGCCCCAGCCAGGCTGAGAACACGGCTTCTTCCAGTCGCTGCTTCTACAGAAGAGCTCAACTCCAACTGAACACCCATCACAGAGTTAAACGCTTCAGAGCAAAGTCTGAGCTGACTGAGCATCTGTGAGAACAGAACCACGAAGGCCGTTCTTTTTGCACTGTGGAGCACAATCCACTCCACTGCGCCCAGGCCTGCTAACACTGCAGCAAGCTCTGCACACCCAGAGGGTCTCCCCTGCTGCCCAGTCCCTACCAGAACAACACAGTCTGCAAGGCTGGCTCCACTAGAGAAGTGCTGGTTTAAAAAGCAGCTGTGCTAGAAGGCCAGGAGTGTAGGTGCATATGCCTTATTACAGCTAATCCGCATATGCTTCAGCTTCAAATAAATACCTATGACCTCAGAATAGTAAATACCACCTCTGTACAATAAATAAAGTATTGCATTTTCTATCGGCCTGTCTAGGAGTCATCTTGGAATGTTGTTTTCAGAGCTAAAAAGAGAGTCCTGTGTTAAGCAGTTAAGGCTTCCAGTGCTTTGGGTTTCAACAGCTTTTTGGCAGCAATGATGGTGTTCTTCATCAGCATGGCAACTGTCATGGGCCCAACTCCCCCAGGGACAGGAGTGATGTAACTGGCTTTCTTCTTCACCCCTGCAGGAAGGACAGAGAGAGTTCACCACGCAAGTCAAGTGCAGTAGGGCTTATCAAGCCAGCTGGTCAGCATACAACCATAGCCAACCTAATATTATTGAATTCCTTCATGACTATTAGTTTAAAAATACATATATATTAGTCTCTTAATTTAGATGTTTGCCCCCTTCGGCCAGGGCAGCACAGAGCACACCGTATTCTAACCATCCCCAAGCTCACATCAGAGCCCACACTGGGGAAAAAGCAAGGTCTAAATAGGCAGATTTATGCAACACATACTGAGTATGAGACCAGATTCAGGCCTGATGCATGCTCTTGAGAAGAGCTCCAATGAAATAACAGTGAGAGTTTGCCCCTTTTCTTGCAGAAGGTTCCAGTACACTTTGCTGGGCACATGGACACGTGGGGCTTCCTTGGGCACTGCTGCAGCTAAGTGGTGAGCAAGGCCAGGAAACAGCAAGCCAAAAGGGAAGCTCTGCATGATTTTGGTTTGCCTGGGGGCAGAATTTAAAAGCAGGAGTGTGGATTATAAACTGGAGTAGAGGCAAAGCACCCCAGCTGCCTCAGATTTAGAGTCAGTCTCCTCTATATGTCCCTATGGCATATTCCAGGAAAGCTCCCTTGTACTCGTATAAAACTGAATGCAAAAGAAAGAGAGCTTCAGGATTGGTATCATCTGCTCCACTGCGTGAACCAGGACTTTCTCCCCACTTCTCAGCTAGATGTTGAATGCTCTAAGTATGAGATGTCAGAGCCTTTTTACCTTCAAAATCCACATCGCCAACCAGCCTTGATTTGGCAGTGATAGGATCCTGCACTCTAGTTATCCCCACATCGATAACTGCAGCTCCTTCTTTGATCATATCAGCTGTGATCAGATTAGGAATACCTGCAACAGAACAGACCCATGAGCTCACAGTGGTGCTAAGCAGCTCCCTGTCCCCCATCACCCCCATCTCACTGCACAGCCCAGTGTGTTTTGACCCACCTGGGCTTTTTTCCTGCCTCACCAATGCATTTGTCACAGATAAATCCAGAACTACTCCTTGGGATGTTCAGCTCACCCAGAAATCAGGGGTTTGAGTGATTTATTTATAACCTCTGAATAAAAAGAACTGGAATCCACTTCCAGAAAGAGGTCTGGCAAAGAAGCTGCAGCCAAAGTGCTCTCCAATTTGAAATCTTAATGTCTATGGTTACACAGTGCTGCCTTCACCACTGACACCACTTCTAATCCTACCTGTACCTTATGTCTTCTTATGCCCAATTTCTATTCTAACCCACATTTCTCTCTCACCAAGCTTCTGTTGCCAGGCAAGGACACCCCAAATCAGCTCAATTCTCCTGCTAATGAGCTATCCCCACGCCAAGGGCACTGCCCAGAGAAGAGCACGCATACATGTGGGGCCTCTTGTGCTCTGAAGAGGGACTGCAAATGTCCTTCAGCACTTTCAACATCTCCTGTAAGTAGATGCTGTCTCAGTATTTTTCTCTCCCCATAAGCACGGAACGTCTGTACTTATAACAGGCTGTATAACAGCCTTTGTTAGCTGCTCTCTAGGTCTTATCAGGTGCTTGCTAGCACATCAAGTCCTCCTGCCAGGTGTCATTTTGCATTTCCAAGAGCTACAAATAGTTCTATTAGTTTGTCCTAGGCTTTATCACAGGATTAACTGCCTGTTTCAAACAGCCCACCCTTGCCTGCAGCAGTTAAAAGGGTGCCAGATTCTCCTATGCTGCCACAGCTGTTTCAGAGCCCTTGGGACACGTACCAACAGGACCTATCTCCTGCAAGGAGAGATTCCCACCAGAAACAACACACAAGCTGCACTGCCTCTGCGCACATCGCCTGCACTGGCAGTTCAGTCTTACCTGCTGCTGCTACCACGATGTCAGCACGGATCGTGTGTTGTTTCAGCTGCTCCTTGGGAGTGTAGCGGTGTGATATTGTGACTGTGGCATCACCTGCAAGAGGGGTTACATGAAGCATTTTACTCACATGCATGGCAACTTCTCTAACCCTCCACCTTCAAGATCACCCGGGAAAGTACCAGAAACACAAGAGCTTGATGACAAACCACTGGGAGCTGCCTACAAAGTCAGCACCTTCTGTGGACCTTTTCACTTCAGCTGGGAAGGGATACCAGGCTGAAATCTCAGCTCCAAAGAAGGTTTTAGTAGCACAGAACCCAGATCTGGTGAAGAACGACTAACTGAAGAAGGCTCTGATTGCCTGTGTGCAGAGTTAACTCCCCAGCCTCCACCACAGCACACCTGGGGCTGGTTTAAGAGCCTAGGAAGGATTGTGGGACAGGTGGAGGGCTTCCTCCCACAGCTGCCTGGTACACAGGCTCTGAGACCAACAAGCTCCTACCTCCTGGGCGCTCGTGCCTGCCATCTGTGTGCAGCAACATGGCAATGGGCATCCCCACATTCTTCGACCGGCCAGCCACCACCACGTTCTTCCCCAACGTTGGGATGCCTGAAATAGACAAAACAGAGTCTTAAGACAAATACAAGCTGGAGCTGGAGCAAACAGCAGCCAAATATTGCAGCGGCTCACCTGTTCTCTTTATGATCTCCCACACCCCCCACGGGGTGGCTGGCAGCATGGAGTACTGGTCAAGGCACATGCGCCCCACGTTTATCACATGAAAGCCATCAACATCTTTGTCTGGAGTCACAGCATTGCAAATCTTCCGCTCATCAATGTGTTCTGGAAAAGAGAAAGAAAAGAAAAAAAAGCAAAGCATCAGCCAAAAAACCTGATTTGCTGCACCAGTCCCTCAGAATCATTACAGTTTGGGGGTTTGAAGCTATTCCAAGCTTCCAGCACGCTCAAGGCTAACAGCTCCCAGCAGAAGGGGACTGGGACCACTTAGGGACTACACTGCTGCTAATGGAGCATGGATATTTTTAGACAGCTGCAGCTTTACTGCCAAATTCGAGCTCCTGGTGCATGAAGCTGATACCACCAACAAAGATCAGATTTCCACTGCCCCCAGCAACTTACAGGCACTGTATGATGGAGCAGTGTTATCTTTAAGCTTGCACCGTGGCACAGTGCCACTTGTCACGTCACAGGAGGACTCCTGAGCTACAACTCCTTCTGGCATCTAAACTCATAACAGCCTAATGCAAAAAATGAAGCAGGTTGAGACCCAGCTACTCACCAGGTAAAGGAAGCTGCACTAACAGGCCATCCACGTTGGCATCGTTATTCAGTTTGCTGATCAAATCCAGTAGCTCCTCCTCAGTAATTGAAGCTGGCTTGAGGATTGTTTCACTGCTGATTCCTGTGCAAAGTGCTGCATTAGAGAGTGGCACGTACACAAGTGGGACAGCAGCTTCCCTGATCCATGCTAATTTGAGCTGCCTGGTTTAAATTCTACACAGAATCTGATATGGGCACATCAAGGATCGCATGCTTCACACAACAGTGGCTGCCTTCCAGGCTGCAGACTTTCACACATCTTGCAAGTCATGATTAAAAACCATTTGTCTGTGCAGCCATCCCTGGGAAAGACCAGTTGAAAACAGACATCCTCCAAAAGTGTGGAGGGCTTGGAGGAACCACACAGAAACATGTTATGATGCAAATGCAATTTTACCTCCTGTGGACCTTTTCACTTCAGCTGGAAAAGGATGTCAGAGTGAAATCTCAGCTCCAAAGAAGGTTTTAGCAGCACAGAATCCAGTGTGGAATTAAACCATATCTTTCTCAATACATTTTCCCCAGAAGCACACTTGGGAAACCAAGTAGGATCTCAGCTTGCAAGACCGAAAGTGTCACAGCACAACAAGACTGCGCTGAATGATGAACACATCTTGAACAGGCGATTAAAAGAAGGCAAATCAAAGCCCTGCTGGTGCTTTACATCGGCCCACCAAGGCCACAAATCCAAGCTGCAGAGCCTGACGTTGCCCTGGAGGTTTCAAGCAGCATAATGCACGTGTGAGCTGTGCCTATTAACAGCATCGCAGAGCTACTAGGAAGGCAGCCAATGCAGACAGAGCAAACTCTGCACTAAGCTCATGCAGCAAAAAGCTGCTGGGTGGATGCATCCTAAAAGTTCCCGCAGTATCCAGCAGAGGACTCCCAGCAAAAGCCAACAAGCAGCAGTTTGTCTGAGTTTTTCTGCTCCAGTTTTTCAGAGCAGAGCACAAGACTTACCCACATCAGCAGCCGCTTTGGTTTTGTTCAACACATAGGAGTGACTTGCAGGATTTTCACCAACCAGAACCACGCTGAGGTGAGGTCTCTTGTTCCCAGCTGCTACCCACTGTTCAACTTCATGCCGGGCTTCTTGTCTGATCTGCCGGGCCAGCTTCCTTCCAGAAATCACAACAGCATCATCTCTGCAGTATGAGAAGTATCACCACAGCAGTGTTAGGGCCAACACATCCAAGTTTCGTGCAACATCAGCACAGCAAACAGAGACAAGACGGGGGAAACGCAGTTCTTTCATCTGAGCTCAGTACAAGCCTTCATCTGTAAACCTGCTTTCTTTTTGTGCCCATTATGTTAAGTAATATATTCCAGTCTGTAGCCCTACTGCCGGAGGAGGAACAGAGCAATTCCTGCAGCCTGAGGAAGCACTCAGTGAGTTCAGGAGCCCACGTGTGTGTTGTTGGCACATATGCCACACTGCCAGCTTCCCTTTGGTGCAGTCAGTCTCCCTGCCCCTTCTAAAGCACGGCAGCTTTGCTCTGCGAGGCAAAACTCATCCCATGTAAGTGGAGTTTGCGCTGCTGGAAGTGCTGAACAATTCCAGCCCATCTCGAGGCTGCAGGAGGCACAGCTGCCGTGCACAGCCATCCCCCGGCAGCATCCCAGAAAGGCGATCCCAGTCCTCCAAGCGCAGTCTGAGCTCCAACCTCACTGCTTTGCTCATCTCTGCAGGGTGACAAAGCCTGATAGGGGATATAGGATTTCAATCCTATCGAAGGATCCCAACGCTCAGCTGAAGCCGAGGAAGGCATCCGCCCATCTGGAACGTGTCACAGCAGCTCCTCGCCTGCATTTCTGGTCTAAATCGGTAGCAGAGGTTCTGCCAACGCATTCCAGGCAATTGGACACGCTGTGTGCACGGAGCCGCTCCCGTCCGCTCCCCCTTCGGGTTCTGACGATCGCTCACATCTCAACGCCGTTCTTATCACAGAATCGCTCCCGGAGGGTTTCACATCCGCCAGATTCACCTGCGGACTTCTCCGCAGCACCGCCCCCCTTTCCGTATGGCCCCGGCCGGTGCTCAACCCCGCCGTTCTGCCCCATCTCAGAGTGGACGGAGCCGCTGCCCCGCAGCCCCGTTAGCGGTGCCGCCTCCGGCGCTGAAGCAACCTGCGAGCAAAACGCATCGCAACGACACGCCGCGGCGGCTCAGCGGTCAGGCATCCCTTGGAGAACAGTTTTCTGACCCCAGCTCCTGTTCCGACCCCCGCACCTCTCACCCCCCCCGGCCCCACGCAAGGCGACAGCGGGATTTCATCAGCCTGCAGCGCGCGGTACGGCCGCTGGGGGTCCGCTCCATTCATTCCGATGGCAGCGGTGCCGTAAGCGGGGCTGAGCCATGCCCTACCTGGGTGCGCTGAGGTGCAGGCGGCGGGCGCGGGGCCGGAGCGCGGTCTGGCCGAGGGCTCGGAGCGGGCAGAGAGCGGTTGCCATGGCGACAGCGGGACAAGAAGAACAGAAAACACACGACTACAATTAAGCGCCGCGCCGCGCCGCCGGCCGGTTATATAGCATCCGGGATCCGCCTCCTGCTGGCAGCAGAAGCCAATCGAGACGGCGAGCGACGAGAGGTTGGGCTGTGAGTGGCGGAAGACAGGAAGAGGGCGGGGCGGAAGGGTGAGTAAGTTGGGGAAGGGGGCGGAGCTTCCCGCCGTAATTGGGCACAGCTGCGCCCATTGGCTGGGCCTGGCGAGCATGAGGGGCCGCGGCGGGAAAGGGCGGGGCGAGGTTACACTTGTTGCCATAGAGATAGTGCCGCTTGAGGCCACGCCCCCTGATCCGGCTCTCGCGAGAGCTGGAGGCTGGGGCGGGAGCTGCGGCTGCCGGCGGCACTCTGCCTCGGGCCGTGCCGCTCCGCCATGAGCTTCCTCTTGTGAGTGGGCGGGGGTCGCGGTGCCGAGGGGAGAGGCCTCGCGGCACGGCTGGGTGCGGGCCATGAGGGCTTTGGGGGGGGCTGTGCGTGAGGGTTGCGGGGAGAGGAGCGGCCTTCTGGGCTCGGTCCGTTAGGGGAGGCCTGAGGGCGTCGAGTGGGGCCTGTTGAGAGACTGGGGGAGGAGGGGGGTACGGTTGGGGGGGACGAAGAGCTGGGGACGTGCAGAGGGGCTGGAGGGGTTCATCTGTTGTGGGGCGGTGCTGGGGGAAGGCTTTGGAGGGGAAGAGAGGGGTAAATAACAGCAGGACAAGGGGAAATGGTTTGAAGTTGAGGGAGGAGAGATTGAGGTTGGATGTCAGGGGGAAGTTCTTTGCTGTGAGAGTGGTGAGGTGCTGGAACAGCTGCCAGAAAGGCTGTGATGCCCCGTCCATCCCTGGAGGTGTTCAAGGCCAGGTTGGATGGGGCCCTGGGCAGCCTGGGCTGCTGTGAAATGTGGAGGTTGGTGGCCCTACGTGTGGCAGGGGGTTGGAGCTTCATGATCCTTGAAGCCCCTTCCAACCCTGGCCATTCTGTGATTCTGGGGGCCTCATCCTTTCAGGCTTGGGGAGCTGAGGGGGGGAGACAGAGGGGAGGGCGAGGAGGAGGCCTTTGTGCTGTGGATGTGGGGCTCAAAGCTGGGCAGGCCGGGGGCTCTGGTGGAGGTGGTGTCCCCAGCTGTGTGCATGGTGCCCTCAGGGCAGTTGGGTTTGACCTGGCTGCAGTGGGAATGGCGTTGGCTTGGCTGTCTACTGTAAGAGTGCATCTGTAAGCAGCTGTATGGATGGGCTGTTATGTATCTGTGTGGGAGATGTGAACGCTCGTGCAATTCTAGCCCTTAAAGGTGTCAGAAGGAGCAACAACGTCTTGAGGTGTGAGAAGGGGCTGAGGAGCCTCATTCTGTTCTCAGTGATATGTTGGGACCCTCTGTCCAGTATCAGCACTGTGCTGGGCCCTGTGCTCCCTCCTGCAGTACAGCAGGAGGCGGTGGCTGGGCTGAAGAGCAAGTTGGATCGAAGGATCTTTTATTCCCACTGCACATAAACAGTGTGCAAAGCCATGGGGCTGTGCTGCAGCGCTGCATCAGGAAGCTGACGCCAGATGTGTGCAGGCTGAGCGCATCCGGCTGTGTGCAATGGGGGGAGGTGGGCAGCAAGCCAGCAGTGCCAGGAAATGCGTGTAACCCCCAGCGGTGCTTTGGCTCTCACAACCCCACATCAGAGCCAGCACAGAATGTGGTGGCTGTGAGCTGTGCGAACTGGGAGTCCGAAAGTTAATGTTTTGTGGTTTGGAGGCATAAAAATGCCGTCATCTCTTGGCAGCGTTGGTTTTTGTGCGTGGGTATAAAGCCAATAATGAGCTCTGACACTGGTATTCCTCTGAGCACTGCTTGCCCTGTTACAGGGCGGTGGAACAATGCAGTTGTATGACTGTTGGTTGACTGGGAGAGTTAAAGCTGCAATAGAGATGTGTGTTTTAGAGCTGGAGTGTGTTAAGCTGCTATCCTGAGCAGGTTGTTTCCTACACAGCGTGCCTTCGCCCTGTTAAGTCAGCCAGTAGTTTTGTTCCTCATTGGAGTTACATTGGCTTATCCGCAGTGTGACTGAATGCAGCCATCGCTGGTCTGTCTTTGAGCCTTTGCACCAAATGCTCCTTGTGATTGGAAAAGGGAAGCGTGCACGTGGCTGTCAGAAACGCTCACATGTAGCTCTGTTACCCTGATGGTGGAGGAAAAAAGGTCTGGTGTCATCGCAGCTGGGCCTGCCAAGTGGCAAAGAGCAATGGGTGATGCTGCAGCGGGAGGGAAACGCTTCTGAGAAGGGATTGCTGCTCACTGGAAGTGTTTCTCTTTGTTTTCTCAGTGGGAGTCGTTCTTCGAAAACATTCAAGCCCAAGAAGAATATTCCTGAAGGCTCCCACCAGTATGAGCTCCTGAAACACGCAGAAGCCACTCTTGGGAGTGGCAACCTCAGGCAAGCAGTTATGCTGCCAGAGGGAGAGGACCTTAATGAGTGGATTGCAGTGAACAGTAAGTCCTGGGAGACAGAGATCCACCAGTGTGTGGAAGTGGAGTGGAAGGACACAGATCTCTGCTTTTCATCCTTAAAAGAAGCAAACAGAAAATCTCCCGAAATGAAATTCCCATTCCAGCTGTATTCTCTTTAAATGAGTAAGGATAAAAGGGCAGTAAAAGCTGGGACATGCTGACCATTTGTGTGTCAGAGCAGTGCTGTGCTCTGGAAATATGCAAAAAGTGAGAAGCAAATACATGCAGTTGTTTCTGAGTGCATTTTCTTGAGTTCAGACTTGTAAAGGCAATTACATTTGTGAGTGGCTGTTTTTGGAGCTGGGAGTAAGACCCGAGGGCTGACATTTGGAATTAAGGTGTGTGGAACCTAAAGCAGTTTTTTACGAGCTGCAACTGGAATCATTTGGTGTGTTTCCTTTCCAGCGGTGGATTTCTTCAACCAAATCAATATGCTGTATGGGACCATCACAGAGTTTTGCACAGAGGCAAGCTGTCCAGTCATGTCTGCTGGACCAAGGTAAGAAGTTTGTGGTGGCCTACAGCTGCAGTTTGTGCTGGGGAAATGGCTGGATGGTTTCTGAAGCGTGTCCAAAAGCTGAAGAGGATGGGATGTATGTGGATGGGCTTGGGTACAGCACTGTGCTCCTGCAGTCACTCACCTGTGTCTGAAGCCCTGTGGGCTGTTAGGGAGGCTGTGTGGTACCAGGAGCAGATTAATTTGAAGGAAAATTGAGAGATTTAACCTGACGTGGAAGTGGCAGATCTTGCTGTCAGCATTTAGCCGTGTCTCAGTCGGAGAGGCCATTGCGTGGTTTTTGAGTGCATGCAGTTCTAAAACCACAGCTGCTAATGGGGCAGGAGGTGAGAGAGGAGGAACCCAGCAGGCGCTGAGATCAGATTGCTGGAGAGAGCAGGGGATTTGTAGGAGAAGGCTGAGGCACCATGGAAGGAGAAAACAGAGCGGGGCACAGGGGCTGGCTGGGGAGCAGTATTTGCAGTGCTGTGTAGAATCCTGCCCTGCTTTTCTAACCAGGAGCATTTAGATTGCGAGTTCCTGTTTCTATATCTGGGGACGCTTCCTGTAAGGGCTTCCTGTTTGAAGCACACTCTTCATTTTCACTTGTTGCTTGTTGAGAAACAACAGCCGAAACGTAATTTTCTCCCCCTCTCTGTAGGGATTGTACAAAAGATTGCTGAGGAAGTTCCTTGCTGCTCGGGGTTGACGTCTGTCCCAGTTCTGGGGAGCTGTGAGACCGATAAGCACACGTCACTTTGAGAGGGTGGTTTTCAGAAGGCAGACGTGGGGCCTCTGGATGGTCTTTGGAAAGTCCCCCACGTGCTGGGGGGCACTTCTGAGGGAGAGCTGAATTCGTGGCTGGTGGCTGAAGGCCATATGTGCAGTAACTCAGGAGGTGGGGGGTTGCCTCCCTCCCTTCCCCTTCAGCCAATTTTTGTCTCGCTTTAAGTGGATGTCACAGGAGGTTGTGGCAAAGCTGAGCGTCACTTTTGAGGGTTGAACCCTGGTGGCTGTTGCTGCAGTTGTTGGGATGGAGATGTGACCCCGAGCTGCTGCATTGGGCTCGAGGAGCTCAGACATCAAGGCAAAGCACCACACAGAATATTTGTTTTGCAAAGTCATTCCTTGCCACGATAAGGAGGAAGCTGTGGGGCCCAGTGGCCAGAACAGGACCTGAAAATGCTGCTTCTTTCCCCATTAGGCCAAGGAATGTATATTTTCTTTCACCCTACAGATATGAGTACCACTGGGCAGACGGTACCAACATAAAGAAGCCAATTAAGTGCTCGGCTCCAAAGTACATTGATTACTTGATGACGTGGGTTCAGGATCAGCTGGATGACGAAACCCTCTTCCCTTCAAAGATCGGTAATTGCAGTGGCGCAGCACGGCGTGCCTTGTGTCCAGCACCAAGCCTCAGTGCCACCACAAAGTCTCAGTGATTTGTATTCAAGTCTTGGTGGTTTGTTTTGTTGTTTCATAAACACTTGTCACCAAACTGAAGCTTGCCCGTGCTCTTCAGGTGTCCCTTTTCCCAAGAACTTCATGTCTGTGGCCAAGACCATCCTGAAGCGACTCTTCCGTGTCTATGCCCACATTTACCACCAGCACTTCGACTCCGTCATGCGGCTGCAGGAGGAGGCACACCTCAACACCTCCTTCAAGCACTTTATCTTCTTTGTGCAGGTGAGGTGCACAACAGCTGCTCAACTGCCTCTACCGGGGTTTTTTGTTCCCATTTGCTTTTAAGGGGAGTTAGAATTTACAAGCCTGCTTTCTTGCTGAAGGGCTACAACAGTGCTGTGGGGGAAGTAGCTCAGCTCTTACCCTCCATGCATGAACTGTTTGGGGTTTACTTATGCAGGCTGGCTGAAAATGCTTGAATTTCCCTATCTACTTTTATTTATTAACAAAAGGACCAGACTTCAAAGAGATTCTGAGAGGGGAAGGGGTTATAATTCAGTAACTCCTTCTGAGATGGCAACAGCAGCTTTTCTCCCCTTGCCCATTTTTTCTGTATCTTGTGACAG